AAGAATTCTGGATTGCTTACAATAAAATAATGATATTAATCAAAATCTTTAATTTGGTACAAAACAGCACTTTAAAATTGAAGTATTTTAAAACCATTTTTACGTTATGGGTATCCATTGCATTTGATTTTTATGTGACAAGAGGGAAACGAGCAGACGGATCACCTGATAATGAATGGTTACTGATAATGAGCCTATATGGACTAGCAAATAATTAAAGTGTTTTTGTAAAATGACAGGTATCATATCACAAACTTTTTTACTCCTTTATTATATTACCCTGTTTTATGTTTGCGGAACGAATTTTAGTCATTCAAATCACGTGTTACAAAAATTGTAGAGAGTGGTAAAAACTTGAATATGCTTGTAAATCTTGTAATTGAACAAATTACAAGCATATTCAAATTTTTTTCTTCTCTTTTTCTCTTTCGTCTTTTTGATTATCGATGTACAACTCACAAAACCACGAGCCATCATCATCATCATCATGTCAGTCATAGGACGTTCACTGCTGAACACAGGCTCCGATGCTGATTTTCACAATGGCCGGTTGGTGGCGGCCTGCATCCAGCGCCTTCCTGCTACCTTTATGAGGTCGTCGGTCCACCTAGTGGTAATGAGTCCTACGCTGCGCTTTCCGCTAAGGCAGAACCGTTGGAAGACCTTATCACAATGCTCGAAGATCTTAATCGAGTCTCCCAACAGGTAGGCCTTCGGATGAATATGGAAAAACGAAGCTTATGTCGAATGTCCATGTTGCTCCTTACCCAGTTTCGGTTAGGAGCTCAATTCTCGAGATTATTGACAAGTAAGTATGTCTATCCACGTCCACCTACAAGGTGGACCGACGACATCGTAAAGGTAGCAGGGAAGCGCTGGACGCAGGCCGCTACCAATCGATCAACATGGAAAGCATTGGGGAGGCCTATGTTCAGCAGTGGACGTCCTGTGACTGAAATGATGATGATGATGATGAAGTATGTCTATCTCGGACAAACGATCAGCTAGGTAGTTAGATGCAATTTCGAGAAAGAGGTAAATCGTCGAATATGAAGACGAAAGTCTTCAATTAGTGTGTGTTACCAGTGATGATATACGGCTCGAAAACGTGGCCTTTGAATATAGGGAACAACGTGCTTCGGAGAGGGATAAGCTTGGTGTTTCTTTACGAGATCTAATCAGAAATGAGGAGCTCCGTAAACTAACTAAGGTCGCTGACATAGCCCGACGGATTAGCAAGCTGAAGTGGCAATGGGAAGGGCACATAGTACGCAGAACTGACGGTCCATAGTCCAGTAAAATTAATGTTTGAAAGGGAGTTGAGATGTCGTTCTTTGTTGACCAAGTACCAATGGCAAATGCTAAAATTGATTTAGAACAAGTTAAATTAACCATAAATAGTAAAGATATTAAAATATTTGCAGTGGAACAAAAAGTGATGGTGAGAGACATGAGAAAATCATTGGTCTTTGCCAATCATGTACTTTGGGCTTTGTGGTAGGTTGTGGCGAGTTTAAACGCTTTGTTTAAAATCTCAATTAAAACTTTTATCCGATTCCGATATTACGATATCGGGTCGCTCAATATCGGAATTTAAATATCGGATCTCGCAGTCCGAGATTCCGATATTACGAGATTCCGAGATTCCGATATTCATGCCCTAAGCGCAGTGTAAAATGTCTAAGGATATTTATTATTATATTATTTATTATTAATATACCTACTAATATTACACACATTAGTTATTATAACTAGCGGAATAGAGTTCAATAGAGCAACAAAGAACTACTCCCCGATTGCGCTAATTTGTAATGTCTCCAAATCATTCGCATTTAAACTCTAGTCTACACTCCAAATACACTCAGTTTTCATTCCAGCTGATGTGCAATTCGATATCGCGGTAAAATTTCACGTGCAAACAAAGACAAAACAATGGATTTAAAAGCACTTTACATTAAAAGTCCGAACACCTTATTTTTTCACTAAAACACAGCAAATGTTCGTGATGCGTATGAATTGCGTTTGAAAAAAGTAACATTCTGTCAGCTTTTACACAAAGACGCAGTTGCTTTCCGTTATGGTCCACCTTCGTTTGAACTAGCTGTCAAAGCGACACCGCGATACGAATTTGTGCAAACAGTTGATTTTCGTACGTAGTCTAGTCGCGTTGCAGTTGAAATTTTTAGCGCAATCGGGGCGCTGATTACTGAACTGAGTGAACACGTTGACGAACTGTGGCTTCACTGATAAGTGTGACAAGTAATTCTACAGTGGTCTAACAGTCTATTTATTTGTTACAGTGCTTTACTTGGAAATGAAAATTTTGTGAATGATGATTCGAGCAGTAAGATCCATATACATATTTGCGAGAGGAAAAATGAAGGGGGTGGTTGGACAGTCTGTAATTATACTTCAAACGAGAAGACCCTACACATTTACATTTCGGCTCAGCGTGGTTGCAATTATTCGCACGGCGACCCAGCGATTAGCCCAGAAACAAATTCAGGGGATCGCTTGTATTTATGCTACCCTACACATTGCAGTCGGAGCCAGCTGAAACATTTTATAAATTATTTTTCGCCCGCAAAAACTGTTAAATTCCCGAAAATACCGATGTCAACACCCGGCTCTGGGGCAAGTACGCCTTATAGAAGAAACCGCGACCGCGAACGCAGTAGCAGGGATGCTAACGCAGATGGTGTTAAGCGACGTCTCTTTTAATGAATAGGTACCTACTTTAAGTTTTCAAACAGGCCCGATTCGACAAAATTTTATCCGAGTATAACTCCTGGTACCTATAACTGGCACATTGACAGTTTCAGTATGGGAAATATGTCAAAACTGACGATTTATTCTGAGATTTTTACTCTTGTTTGGTCGAATCCACCCGTAGGCCTGGTTTTTTGATTCGAAGTGAAATTAACCAATGGTCAATTTTTGCTACTAATAGTTAAATATTAACAATATGTAAACTAATGGTTAAAAATGGACTAAAAGTCAAGCTAACCATTGTTCGAAAATCATTTTTTTCTGATATTTAACCACTTGTTATTTGACATTTGTCAAAAGACAATGCCGGAAATTGGCGTCTTTTTTTTTCGCGCGGCCATCGACCAAACCATGTTTTTTGGTTACAAAATAGTATAATAAACCAAACTTACTATGACATATACCTCTAAACTCAGTCTGAACTGAGTTACGAGCATTAGAAGTTTGATGATTTTACATAAGGCTAGATTTGCTTTTTGCGCGCAAGTTTTGTAAGGAATTGCAACAAAATAGTGACGTCTTTTTTGTTGCGCTGATTCTGCTCCACAATGATGGCTGGCTATAATCGATGGTATTGTTTGTTTACACATACAATGTCACTATTTTGTTGCAATTTCTTACAAAACTTTGCGCGATCAGCCGGCGTGCAGCGATGGCGACCAATACATTTAGTCTGATCGCCATCGCTGCACGCCGGCTGATCGCGTGTGATCGCGTTGGTTTGGCCAAACCTTTAGAGAAATCAAACGTTGCTATTTGCAAAAAATTTTGGCTCACCCTGTATTAATTAACATTATTTTAAGAGGGAAAAAAAAAGGTTTAAGAACCTTTGTATTGTTCATAATAATTTGATCTTATTTATTTAGTCAAGCTTTTTTACATTATAAGCATAATAGAAACATGACTATGTTAATGCTTTTTTGTGTATTACATAAATTTTGTATTGCACATTTTATATTTTGAAACATAATAATTTTACTGTATTATTCTTTTTATACCTATTTTACAATAACTTTATTTTATATTTTTATTGTGATAAAATATTTAAAAATAATGACGTACTTTATTGAAATGAAAGCTATACATAATACATAATTACCTATATTTTTTATGTATAAGTATATCCTTGGACATTTTACATTGCGCTTCTAGTCCCAAACTAAGCAAAGCTTATACTATGGGTACTAGACAACGGATATACATAAATACATGCATAAATATTTTTTTAGGGTTTCGTAGCCCTGACAAACAGTGGCGGCGTAGCATGGGTTGGCAACTGGGGCGATCCCCATACCCCCCTCCCCTAGTCATAAGTCCATAATTTAAGTTGGGTATACATAATAAAGCGGGGGGCTAAGGGGCCCTAGGAGTTTTGGTATCGATTCGAAGATGAAAGATGTTAATGAGCAATACGATGCCCTATGACCGTCCTCATGCAGATGCGATGCGACAGTAAGTACTGCAGTAAGCAAAAGTTGGTCCCCCCCCCCCCCTCTAACTTCTAAAATAACAAAATGAAAAATCTAAAAAAAACATATGATGTAGATACATTACTATAAAAACTACCAACGAAAATTGTTTTGAACGAGATCTAGTAAGTAGTTTTTTTAATACCTCGTAAATCGTAAACCGCTTATTACCGCGTAATCTTTCATACAAATAACTAAAAGTAAAAAAAAAAAATTCATAAATCAATGGTACGGAACCCTTTGTGCGTGAGTCCGGCGCGCACTTGGCCGGTTTTTCACTTTGCCGAAAGCGCAATTCCACTTTACCCTTGTGATAAGGGCAAAGCGGAAAATTATAGACAATAAAAATAGTTATTTTATACCTAAATAGTTAATAATTCGTTATTTTTTTTTAGAGTTATCTATAATACAATACTTGTAGTATCATTTCGATTAAAACTAGTCTTCATAACTTATCTGGTTCTTTTTATTTTTTCGATTGAAGTTCAGTATTCCTCTATGCCCCCCCTTCCCCTACATTTGTCCTGATAAATGAATAATGTAATTATTTTCTACTTTTTAGTGCAGGTTTTTTGGAGTCGGTTTTAATTTTATTCGATGTAAAGTGTGCCAGTGCGGCCGTGAATAAAATATCCGAAAAAAAAAATCCATAACCGCAATCGATATAATATTATTCCTATATCGGTTACCGTATCCATAACCGAAACTACATCCATAACATCCCTATGACATCACTCTATAATCTCTATGGCTACGACTTACCATGTTCCATTCTGCAGATTTTCTGTTGTATTCTTCCATACTTTAGTGATGTTCTCCAGATCTTCTTCATCCTCCGTGGGTCCCACCACGAAAGTGAGTGGTATAATCCACTTGTTCGGCGGTGGTGGCTTGGTGGTGGTGGCTGGTCGACGCGTGGTGGTCGGCGGAGTAACCGTGGTGGTTGCGTTGACGTCGTCTTCTAAGGACTCTGTGAGGTTTTCTGGAAAAATGAGAGTACTAGGTCTATAGTCTGGTCTGCGAGCACGTCGAATTTTGTCCAATGACCCCAAGCTACCCATCCTTATCGCTCGCGCGTAATTATATTGCTGTCGCGACTGTGCGTCGGGCGCCCGCAGAGAGTGTGCGAGGGCGACAGCAACATAATTACGCGCGAGCAATAAGGTAAGAGCAAGGATGGGTAGCTTGGGGTCATTGGACAAAATTCTACGTGCTCACAGACCGGGCTTTAGAGCTTAACTCGGTCAGTGCCTGAGGTATGGGAGCGGCACGGGAGGGGCGATATTGTGACGTAGGATATAAATCTGAAGATCTGACGTTTAACGTTACAAAAACAGACTCCTGTGCCGCACTGACTGACTTTTTTAAGCGCTAGACAACATAAATTATCGACAAAAAACATAGATCTAGATACGTGGCAGTTTGTCAAGTCAAGTTCAAGAAAATTGCCCATTGCCACTTCAGCTTGCTGATCCGTCGGGCTATGTCAGCGACTTTAGTTCGTTTACGGATTTCCTCATTTCTGATTCGATCTCGTAAAGAAACACCTAGCACACTTACCAGGTTCATAAAATAACTCGTCCAATTCGGCCCTCAAGTCGAAAGTCAGAAGGCTGTCCATCATGGGCGCATCTACTTCTGGCGGGTCTGCTGTCATGACGAACCTGAAAATATAGTTCGTTAATAGGTAAAGCCCGGTCTGTGAGCACGTAGAATTTTGTCCAATGACCCCAAGCTACCCATCCTTATCGCTCGCGCGTAATTATGTTGCTGTCGCGCTCGCACACTCATTGCGGGCGCCCGTCGCACAGTCGCGACAGCAATATAATTACGCGCGAGACCAGACTATAGTTAAGGTCATAGCAGACTTATCAACTCGGAAAGGGATCAACACCGCATCGCCTTTCGCGAGCTGTCATCGTCTTTCGCGCGCTGTTAACCGCGAGGCGAGGCGTTTACGTTACAGTGCGGATAAGTGTGCGAAACTCCATACTGCATAATGGAGTTTCCTACAAAGAATACTGACCCCCTCAAGATGCTACGGTTACGATCCCTTTCCGGGTTTAAAAGTGTACTAGGTCCTTTTTACAGTGACAAAAAACTATTTTCCGCGAATTTAATGCCCATAAAATCATTTCTATCATTGAGTTACACTTAAAATCACTTAAAATTTTAATAATTGGATATTTTGAACGTTCGATATTTTGATCGTTCGATATTCTGATCGTTCGATGAAACGTGTTCGTTAATTTGATTTGCGATCGTTTGTCATTCGACATGGCGAAGGTAACCCCCACTGTACCGTGTGGCTTCTCACTTAGAGCCATTATTTCGGGACTATTCCCACCTCTCGTTCCCACCACTGCAACTCCTGTGTAGCCAGGATCTACAGCTTGACCGCCACAAAAACCCAACCAATGAAGTTCAAGTTTGTCCCGGGGGAAAGTTAAAACTGTCATTGGACCCGCAACGAAATTAACCAGAAGAACATAGGAGGAGTTCGAAGTTAAAGACTTAGAGCCATTATCTTACCTCTCTTGCTTGATGACCACGTTGTCGCCATCTACCGTGGCGCACAGCAGCGGATAGCCAGGCCGCTCGCACCAGCCGTCCCACGCCTGGGCGTGGGTGCTTGTGTCATCGCCGCTGTCATGCTGCAGCGCCCGCCAGAGGTCTCTGTAGGGAATGAAGGGGTTAAAGACAGGGGATTACCACTCTAGCGTAGTATACAGGGTGGAATTTTGTAATGCCACCTGGAGGGAAAGTACTCTTAATACTGTAGATAGAAAATTTTACGCAAAGAAAACACATCTTTATTTTTAAAAAGAAAGAGAACTGCATTCAAAGATTTTAGATTTTTTTTCGAAAATTCACCACCATACCATAAAAATTTCTGTAAATAATTAAAATAATTTAAGATTTCATGGTTTTCCTTTCATTTGATTTATCAAGTTTGTCAGAGAGATTTCATCCTTATACTTTAACCCTAACGATCGATGCAATAAAAATACAGGGTGTAATTTTTAACAAAATCTAGTTGGTTCGATTCCCGGGTGTGGCAAGCAAATTTTTAGAAATTTTTGAATGCAGTTCTATTTCTTTTCCTAAATTAAGAAATGTTTCCTTTGAGTAAAATTTTCTATCTACAGTATTATGAGTCTTTCCCTCTAGGTGGCATTACAAAATCCCACCCTGTAGATCTTTTTTTCATCGCCCATACACTCTCGCTAGAGTGGTCGTGGTCCAGTGGCAAGCCTCACAATCCGTCGCCATTCCTCCCGTACTGCAGCCTTTCTTGTGCACTCATGGAGTGGACCATTGAGTGCGCTTATGGCCTGGTCAGTCCAGCGCATGGGCGACAATGCCCTCAACCTTCCCTTGCACGACAAGTCATTCAACAGAAGCGACGTCTCCACGTGTTATATGGCAAAAGAAAGTGAGAATACGACTTTGGACGATGGAAGAAAGACGCTGTTTGACATCAAGTTCTTGGATGCTCGAGACGTTGGTTCGAAACTGTAGTAAGATATGCGTAGTAAAGTGTCATGTAGGTAAAGCCCGGTCTCTGAGCACGTAGAATTTTGTCCAATGACCCCAAGCTACCCATCCTTATCGCTCGCGCGTAATTATGTTGCTGTCGCGCTCACACACTCACTGCGGGCGCCCGTCGCACAGTCGCGACAGCAATATAATTACGCGCGAGCGATAAGGATGGGTAGCTTGGGGTCATTGGACAAAATTCTACGTGCTCACAGACCAGACTATAGGCGTTGTAAAGTGTCGTGTAGATAGTGTAGGTCTCACCTGGCGTCAGCGCTAGCAGCCCTGTGGTACTTCAAAAGCCGCGCCAACGCAGCCCTCCCCGCCGCTTCCCCCGCCGCCTCTATAGCCATGCTCACTATGGCCGCCCCCTGAAGATAAAAATATCACAGTAAATTGAAATTTGTCGGCCGTTTGGTGTAGTGGTTCAGAACGGACTACTATGCCGAGAGGTCCCGGGTTCGATTCCCGGCCGGGCAGAAATTGAAATGAATTTTAATTTCTGTGACGGGTCTGGGTGTTTTCTATGTATAAGTATGTATTTACAAAAAAAAAGTATTTTTTAAGTATGTTTATATCCGTCGTCTAGTACCTACCCATAGTACAAGCTTTGCTTAGTTTGGGACTAGAGGCGCAGTGTAAAATGTAAAAAAAAAAATCGTTGGCATCCATTTCAGTGCCGGATTAAGGCCTTAGCACATATTTTATCAACCCGGAAAGGGATCGTAACCGTATCAACTCGAGGCGGTCAATATTCTTTATGAAACTCAATGCTGCAACGCACATTCTATCAGCATCGTATAGATGACCTAAAGAACTGTCCTGTTCCACCAAATTCATTGACAGAGAGGCGCCACCATCGTTCAACTATTACAGGGTGTTTGGCGGAAGGTTCGACAAACTTCGTGGATGTATGGTAAGGTCATTTTAAGAATACAAGTTCGCCCATTTGACCCTAAATGAGTAACTTTTTTTAAATTTATATTTTTGTTATTATTTATTTTTTTCCAAAATTTGACCTAAAAAGGCTTCAATTTGTTTTCTCGTGTGTTTTGAACCGCTTTCTTATTTGATATTAATATCGAATAATATGTCTTTAGTTGAATAAAATAAATTTCAGGTCAAGATAATGATTGGATAACTAGTTACGAGCCGCCAAAGTTTAACAAAAGTACAACCCACGATAAAAAATTCAACGTAGAATTTGATTAAAAAAAAATTAAAGGTAATAATATCTTAAAAACATTCTAGCTTCTCTTCTTTCCAATGATATATCACATTTAATAATTAGATATTGATTGTCAAAAATTCAAAGTTTAGGGAAGAAAATGGAATAATAATACAAATATTGTTTGATTTGTTGTTTTACAAAACCACACCCTTTATACGAAATCTTTTGATTGTAAAATCTTACCTTATGTAAAGATAGCTCATCCGAAGCTGCCTCAATGTCCGCTCGATCCAGCCTGGGGGATGCCACAGCGCGCACTGAGTTGCTTGAATCTAGTCTGCAAAGTAGGAAATTAAAACCTTTGAAACAATCGAACTGCTTAGAAAGAAAGAAAGAAAGAAAGAAAGATACATTTATTACAATGGACATCACACAAATACAGGCAATTATCATAGCTGGGCATTAACTCGTTAATCCGTTAATCGTTAATTAACGAAGTTAACATTTCTATTAACGGATTAACTTTTAAGTTAACTTTAAAAAATGTTAACGGACTCGTTAACTTCCGTTAAATTATCCTAAGTCCGTTAATCCGTTAATCCAGTACCTACTATTTACCAAAAGCACGCTGAAAAACGCTAGAAAAACCAGATCACTAACGACACTTGTTAGTAGGTATGTGTGGGACAACTCTTGCAACTGAATTTAAGACCAGTTTTCCTCAACCGATTGAGCTGAAATTTGGTATACTTATGTAAGTACGATGACAATGCAATGTTATGGTACCATTGAGCTGGTCTGATGATGGAGTCATGAGGTGGCCATAGGAACTCCTAAATGAAACGGCGGCATCGCATCGAATTTGGGTTCGTTGGATTTGTCTTTTCGAGCACTTTAGTACTAGATGATGTTCAGGGTCCTGATGATGGAGTTAGGAGGTGGCCATAGGAATTCCTAAATGAAACAGTGGAAACTTATCGAGTTTGGGTTTGCTAGATTTGTCTTTTCGAGCACTTTGGTGCTAAATTGTATTGTAATTGAACCAAAGCTCTGAGATTGAGTTACTACTAAAAAGTGTAAAATAAAATTATAAAAACTTTTTTAAAAACAAGCTTTTATTCTGAAATGCAGTTGTACTAAAACGAAAAAAATAATTGTACTTATGCAAGGTTCAAATAATTTCGAAAGCTTGTAGCGCAAACAAAAAAACCGGCCAAGTGCGTGTCGGACTCACGCACAAAAGGTTCCGTACCAGTGTACCAGAATCTCATGGCAAACAAAAATATTGGAAAAGTGTGTTTTTCATATGGCCATTGTCTATGGCTTTATTGTCACCTGTCAAAGTAAATCAAGAGATCTGTCAGCCGCTGCAGAAATTTTGTAATCTCTTCATGCCTATTTGTTATTTTTGTGAAAAAGTCGAAAAAGCTCAAGCAAATCATATTGTTTTCAATACGAATTGTAAAATAGGGCATAATTCAAAATCAATCTTTGATTTTAAAACGCGTCGTTGAGTTGACAGTAAGTTGGAGTGAAATGTTTTGATACATTAAGTTTATTACCTAACTGCGTCAGAAGGAGGGTGGGGGTTATGTTTATTTTACAATTACTCTTACCTAATAACTGCTTTATCGGGGTTTTCAAGTGTATTTCATACATTGGTGCAGAGGAATAGTGAAAAAGTTATGACCATGTAAAGAAAATTGAAAAAGATTTCATCAAGCAAGTTTGAGTAATTGAAATGCTGAAAGAGCGATTCATATTATACAGGGTGGAATTTTGTAATGCCACCAGGAGGGAAAGTACCTACTCTAGATATACTTTTTTCTCAAAGAAAACATTCCTTTATTTTTGAAAAGAAATAGAAAGATTTCCAAAAATTTGCTTGCCACACCCGGGAATGGAACCAACTAAAATCTGTTAAAAATTACTTCCTGTATTTTTATTACATCGATCGTTAGGGTTAAGTATAAGGATGAAATCTCTCTAACAAACTTGATAAATTAAATGAAAGGAAAACCGTGAAATCTTACATTATTTTGATAATGCTACAGAAAATTGTATGGTATAGTAGTGAATTTTCTAAAAAAATTCGAAAATCTATGAATGCAGTAGTCTTTTTTTTTCAAACATAAAGGAATGTTTTCTTTCAGTAAAATTTTCTATCTACAGTATTAAGAGTACCTACTTTCCCTCCAGGTGGCATGACAAAATTCCACCCTGTATAATTTTTTTTTTTTTTTTTTTTGAAGGGACGCGCGCTGGTAGCTTGAAGAGCTTTTCCAACTTCACCGGGCAGAGTGGCGAGTACAGAAGGTACTCTAGCCGTTTGGCGATCGTCGGTGCGCGTGCCGACGAGGCCGAGTGTGGGCTTGTCCGCGTCGGTCGCAGACCGACGTTCGCGATCGGGCCGTATCGAGCGCATAAGGCGCCCGATCAGTGGCGAACCCAACTAGAGGGTTGCCCACCGCGGTGTTGGACCAAAGTCCAGCCTACGGCGGGCTCACTCTAGTGGGCCCGATCGAGGGGACTACGGACGCGGCCTGAGGGCGCCACGGTAGGCTCGGACCTCGGCTCAGGCCGTGTCCGGGGGACGGATAGGGGCCCTGTATAAATACCTCTTTAACTTGATTATCTATTGAAGAACAAGAAGCGTTTTCTAGTTCTGAATAAAGTGATAAGTTATAAGTATGATACGTAATAAAATTATTTAGAGTAATATACGGTTTACTTATTTTTCAAGAAATGTTTCTATGTTAAAAACCCGATGTATAACAACATTCTTCATACACATACCTAAAATGTATAGGTAGGCATTCGTACTTCATGGTCATTAATATTAAAGTCATAAATAAAAAATTTAAAAGTATCAAGATCGTTTAATCCAATTTCCCCAGTATTGCACTCAACAAAGTTTATTTTCCCCATTTGCCATGAGATTCTGGTACACCTATAATAAGCGGTTTACGATTTACGAGGTATTAAAAAAAACTACTTACTAGATCTCGTTCAAAACAATTTTCGTTGGTAGTTTTTATAGTAATGTACATCCTATGTTTTTTTTTTAGATTTTTCATATTCTTATTTCAGAAGTTAGAGGGGGGTAACTTTTTTCCACTTTGGAAGCGTCTGTCACGCAAACTATTCGGTTTAGAAAAAAAAATATTTTAGAAACCTCGATATCATTTTTGAAGACCAATCCATACACGTATGTTTGATGAAAAAAAAATTTTTGAGTTTCAGTTCTAAGTATACGGAGCCCCCAATATTTATTATTATTTTTTTATTTTTGCATCAAAATCTTAATGCGGTTCACAGAATTCATCTACCTACCAAGTTTCAACAATATAGCTCTTATAGTTTCGGAAAAAAATGGCTGTGACATAAGTACGGACGGACAGATGGACAAACAGACATGACGAATCTATAAGGGTTCTGTTTTTTGCCATTTGGCTACGGAACCCTAAAAAAGAGGAATAAATTCCATGCGCGATACAAGCTTTCGAAATTATTTGAACCTTGCATACAATTATTTTTTTCGTTTTATTATCATGTGTTAACGGATTAACGATTAACGTTAACTTGCGTTAAATCTTGTGAAATATAACGTTTAACGAAGTTAATTTTTTTATTAACGGTTTAACGATTAACGAAGTTAACTATTTGATTAACGGTGCCCAGCTATGGCAATTATATAGACGTGACAGTGGCACATAATAATGGAAGAAGAAAAAATAAATCCCACCAAAAACATTCTGTAAAAAACTAGCCAAGTCTCGATGGAGCTGCTTGTTTATCTCTAAAAAGTAATGAAATCTAGACAAAGTCGTGCCAAGTCTATGGTTCCTTACTGCGATTTCTTTATTATTATAGTTAATGTTGTGTGACTTGGCCGTTGAACAATCTTTATTAAGATAATCATACATAAGTATTATTGAAATACGCAGCTTTATTAAACCTACAATTGACTGGTTGTTGTTGAATCAACGTTTTCCAAGTGGCAATTTTCCATCGTCAATGGGTAGCGGTTCTGGCGACAGATTGGTGCAATGGTGTCATGGAGCACCTGGTTTTGTCACCCTTCAACGGCCAAGTCACACAACATTAACTATAATAATAAAGAAATCGCAGTAAGGAACCATAGACTTGGCACGACTTTGTCTAGATTTCATTACTTTTTAGAGATAAACAAGCAGCTCCATCGAGACTTGGCTAGTTTTTTACAGAATGTTTTTGGTGGGATTTCAAGTAGTATTGATTATGAATGTGGTGTTACTCCAGATCTTCGATTTTCCTAGTTTTTATAGTTTTCCCTTTATGTGGCCATTAAACCCTAACTCTGTACCAAATTTCAGCTCTCTGAGTTTATGGGAAGTACTAGTTCTATTTTGATGATCATCAGTGAGTGAGTGTCATAAATGCAAAACTTTGCTTTCGCTTAACTTCGGAACTAAATGACCTACAGACTTGAAATTTTGGATTTTAAGTATGTGATTATAGCTTACTAGATGACGAAAATTTCTGCGTTCTGGTCTTATCCAGAGGTTCTCAAATAGGGGCCTGAAAATGCGGCGAAATGGTTCCAGTAAAGGATGGTACGGCAGTGTTTGCTTCGCGCTCGACTTGGCGGGGGCACTGCCGTGCCCCCAGATAAAAACAAGAGTAAACTGAGCAGTGCCACCCACCCAACAAGATGCCCACTGCAACGGGACCCCACTCAGCATGCCGTGGCCCACGGTGACGAAGGCCACGGCGCTGGTTTTCAGTGCTTAGAACATCGCACATTTTCAACTCGGAAAGGGATCGTACCCGTACCAACTCGAGGCGGTCAGTATTCTTTGTATGAAACTCCATATTGCAACGCACACTTAGACCCAGAACAGACGGTGAAACGCAACTGCAACGAAACTCCAACTTTGTGATGATTCTGATGAATGAAACTGAAACTGGAAGTTTCAAACTTTCAGGTTCTGATGAATGAAACTGAGTTTGATTGAAGATTGAAACAGTTTCATTCATCAGAATCATCAGAAAGTTGCAGTTTCGTTGCAGTTGCGTTTCACCGTCTGTTCTGGGCCTTAGAGAGACCACACATGACGCGAAAAGTTTGAAACTTTCAGTTTCAGTTTCATTCATCAGAATCATCAGAAAGTTGTGCTGCAGTTTCGTTTCAGTTGCGTTTCACCGTCTGTTCTGGGCCTTATTCGAACCGTAACGTAAACGCCTCGCTTTGCTATTGACAGCGCGCGAAAGGGGATGACAGCTCGCGAAAGGCGATACGGTGTTGATCCCTTTCCGATTTAATAAGTCTGCTATGAGCTTAAGGCGGGAATTGAACCCACGACCTTTCACTTGCCGGGCGACTGCTCTTCCATCAGCTACTTAGACAATACGCTGTTGCGGCCGCGTTTGTTTCATCAATGTTACAAATAAGAATTTAACTGTCAGTCAAGATGAAACACGTATGTTCTAAGCTAAAATATGATTGTCACGAGTGAGCTCACCACAATAGTCGAGCGGCGGCGGGGTTCCGCGTTCCTCGAATCACGAGTCGGCCAGTCCGACCCCTTCACTGTTCGGCTATCGTGGCTTCAAAAAGACCCGCAACAAAATTAGTGCCGGTATTAGGTACTGGCATTCAAAGCTGAGGTGACAATGAGCAGGGCACATAGTACGAAGAACTGACGGCCGATGGAGCAGCAAGGTTCTGGAGTGGAGGCCACGTACCGGAAAACGCAGCGTGGGACGCCCAATCACAAGGTAGGCCGACGACATCATAATCGACAGCAGGAAGGCGCTGGACGCAGGCCGCTACCAACCGGGCAACATGGAAAGCATTGGGGGAGGCCTATGTTCAGCAGTGGACGTCCTATGGCTGAGATGATGATGATAACTGGCCTTCGAAGGTTGGACTATGATACCAGGGTAATAATACCTGAGCGCAGGCAGCACGTGGTCCAGTAGTAAGGCGTCCTGCTGTCTCTCAGACGCGCTGTCGCTGATCGCTGGTGCCTTCTCAGCAATCACTGACGTCAGAGCGTCCATCAGCCACTGAGAACTCCACCAACGAGGTGAGACTAGCCCGCCAAACCACTGGGGACCAAAAAGTACCTTATCTTAGGCTGAGTTGACTAGGTGTTCTTATGAGAATAGAGATTCTTTCGAACGTTATTAGATCGTTTCATCCATGAAGACGCGTCCCACCATTCTTCCGCTAATGTCTGAGTGTTATCAGTACACGCTAAATCATCCATGAGTGCACACGTATACTACAATAATGCCTTACGGATTGCTCGGATCAAACTCCCCGCACCCTGCGCGTCCGAGACCAAAAAGTGGTGGGGCGCGTTTTCGTGGGTAAAACGATCTAAGTATAACCGGTGTTTTTTGTATGGAGTTTGACAGATTTTTGACATTTGCCATAGTTAAAGTGATGAGAACTCAGCATTAGAATAGAAAAAATAACGGGACTGTTCCCATCTCTCGTTCCCATCGCTGCAACTAATGCTCGGGCTATGTCAGTGACTTAGTTCACTTACGGATCTCCTCATTTATGATTTGATCTAAAGAAACACCGAGCATAGCCCTTTCCATATCACGCTGTGCAACTTTGAGCTATGAACCACAAGATGGACCGACGACCTTATAAAAGTAGCAGGAAGGCGCTGGATGCAGGCCACTGCCAACCGGTCATGTGGGCGAACATAAACCGTTCAGCAGTGGACGTCCTATGGCTGAAATGATAATGACGATGAACTTACCTGCTGGGCCAGCAGTCTGGCGATGGTTTTCGTGTCAGTCAAAGTAGAAGGAGACAGAGTAATCAGTCCCCAACCCTCAGAATATGGGTTACCACCATCTACCACTACTATATCGAACTTAGGTAATGGGTACGACGTGTTCAACTCATAGCTGAAATGCTGTATCGTCTTCTGCACCCATTCTAGGAGCGGTCTGAAACAAAAATGATGTTTTAAACTGCTGTCAACCAGGTTTATAACTAGGTAGTAGTTTTATAGATAATTTAAACACATAATGGAAATCCTTGGGTCAGGCCTTTGTCCTGCAGTGGACGTCATTTGGCTGAAACGACGGATGTGTTATGTTTTCTCCAGCAAGAATTTACAATTCTGAATTCTTGCTGGAGAAAGCCCTCAGGGAACATAGTTTTAAGCACGTCACACAATTATCAACTTGAAAAGGGATCGTAACCGTATCAACTCGAGGCAGTCAGTATTCTTTGTATGAAACTCCATACTGCAACGCACAATAATATAGATGACCCACGCTGAACTGTCCCACCAAACTCAATGACAGGGGGGCGCTACCATCGTTCAACTATATGGTTTCCAACATGGCAAAAATCTGAACCAGCGATCCGGTATTGACGGTGGCGCCCCACTGTCAATGTCATCGACAGGACAGTCCAGTATTTTGGAACTATCCGCACCATAACGTAAACGCATCGCCTCGCGGTTGACAGAGCGCGAGAGGCGATGACAGCTCGCGAAAGGCGATGACAGCTCGCGGAAGGCGATGACAGCTCGCGAAAGGCGATATGGTGTTGATCCCTTTCCAAGTTGAATAAGTCTGCTATGAGCTTAAGAAACACTGACCTAGAGCATTTTTGTTTAATGTAATGTTCTTGTAAATGGTAGTACAGTAAAATGGGGTGAGTGACAAGGTGTGTCACTAGACATTTCATAGAGCGGTTCGTTGTTCTGTTACAAATAAATGCTCTAGTCTATCTCACCTATAAATAAAAATAATAATCTTCAATTCTTACCCAGCTTCATCCAGAATTACTTGCTGATCGCTATACAAGCTGATTTCTGGAGGGGGCAGCACCGGTTCCTCCGCTTCGTCCGTCGGTTCCGTGGGGGCCATTTCAGTGGGGGTCACCGTGGGGGTCGCGTCGGTAGGCAGGGGGGGCGCAGCGCGGCGCTGCAGCCGACACACGGCCATCGACATCATGTGGGGGGGCATTGGGGGGGACTGACCGAATTCGTCTTGCAGCTGTAAAAATATTGAAATGATAAATCTTTATTCGGTATCCATGGGCGTACCTAGAACCCTTTGAAGAAACTAAGTCAACGATCTGATATAAAAATCTGACTTGCCCGAGGCCAGAAGCTGTCTCCTTTTATAATAAATAATAATAAATAAATAAAAATAAAAATCATTTATTTTCAGACAAAAGCAGTCCATAGTTTGGTTAGTAACAATTTGAACTTAGAGACTATATTACAGTAGAGTAAGGCCTGGTTTTTTGATTCATAGTTAAAATAACTATTTGTTAGATTTTGCGACTAATGGTTAAATATTAACAAAATGTTAACCAATAGTTTAAAAATGTACTAAAACTCAAGTTAACCATTGTTCGTAAAACATTTTTTTCTGTTATTTAACCACTTGTCATTTGACATCTGTCAAATTTGACCATTGGTTATTTTAACTATGAATCAAAAAACCGGGCCTTAGTAACAATGTTCTTAGAAATATGTTAGTCGTACATCATGGGTTCGATAAACTATGTAAGTATATTGACTCTTGCCTAATGTGTAAGTCAACAAAACGACTATAGACGGATGAGTCCAGCCTCTCAGCAATCATTTTCAGGATTCCATTCCCACTTGTCCTCAGTCTTTGTAACACAGACGCAATTTTATGTACTCGTAAACCTGTATTAGGAGGCCCCGCTCCTTCTTAAGGTTACAAAGACGTGTTGAAACAAACCATTAACTTGCAAAATTCGTACTAGTGCGAAACCAACACTAGCTGTGAAGAGAAGAGTTACATAAAAATTATAATAAATAAAAAAAAAACTTTTTTAAAAACAAGCTTTATCCTGAAATGCAGTTGTACTAAAACGAAAAAAATAATTGTATGCTAGGTTCAAAGAATTTCGAAAACTTGTATCGCGCATAGAATTTATTCCTCTTTTTTACTGTTTGCGCTACAAGCTTTCGAATTTCTTTGAACCTAGCATACAATTATTTTTTTCGTTTTAGTACAACTGCATTTCAGGATAAAGCTTGTTTTTAAAAAAGTTTTTTTTTTATTTACCTATTATAATTTTATTTTACACTTTTTAGTTGTAACTATCTCAATATCTGGGCCTGGTCATCATTTAGCATAAAAGTGCTCGGGAAGTCGAATTCAACGAACCCAAACTCGATAAGTTTCCGCCGTTTCGTTTAGGAGTTCCTATGGCCACCTCCTGACTCCATCATCAGACCAGCTCAATGGTACCATAATATTGCATTGTCATCTTACTTACATAAGTATACCAAATTTCAGCTCAATCGGTTGAGGAGAACTGGTCTTAAATTCAGTTGCAAGATTTGTCCCACACATACTAACAAGTGAAGTCAATATAAAGCTTGTAAAAATGGAATTTACAACCCAGTCGAGTTTGCTGCGCATCTGGCGGCAGTGACATCACATCGCCGCTCTGGTATGGCTGAAGCGAGCGCGCGGTGCGCAGTTAGCTCGATTCGGTTGTAATGATGATTTTGATTATAACTAGCTTTTTACCGCGGCTTTACTTGCTGAGTAAATTAGAAAATCTTAAGGATGCATAAATCTTACCAGTCGGTGTCCCAAATAGAAGCCAGCTTCCTCTGTAGCCATTATGGGCATATTTGTCAGCGATACGTGGAATCTGAAAAGAAAAAACAGAGGATCAATCAATAATCTTCACCATCTATCTTTAAAGTATACAGAACTGACGGCCGATGGGGCAGCAAGGTTCTGGAGTAGAGGCGACCCCCAAGGATTTCCATAATGACTAGTCCTGCGCTGCCCGCATCCATGTTTTAGTGACCTTCACCAGATTGTGGTCCACCTTGTGGGGGGCCCATGCCATATCTTTTGTTTCGTGGTCGCCACTCTAGAACTTTTGCCATCGTCTCTACAAGCTACAACGGCCATCATCTCTACGAGCCTTACCTACCCCGCCAACTGCCACTTGATTTTAGCAATTCTGCGGGCTATGTCGGTCACCATACGGGACGGACTATTCCCATCTCTCGTTCCCATCGCTGCAACTCCTGTGTAGCCAGGATCTACAGCTTGACCGCCAATAAAAACCCAACCAGTGAAGGCCAAGTATGTCCCGGGGGAAAGTTGAACTGGCATTAGACCCGCAACGAAATTAATCAGAAGAACATAGGTGTTCGAAGTCGGTCGGTCACCATAATGTTACATGATAATTACCTTTTAAATAAACAACTTAAAAAAATCGAACTACCAAAGGCAGGAATCGAACCCACGACTTTTCACTTGCCGGGCGACTGCTCTTTCAACTGAGCTACTTAGACACTGGATGCAGCAGTCGAAATTTTCAAGTGTAATACGGTATTATGGCCGCGTTTTATTTCATCAATGTTGGGTATAGTCTTGTCGCTGAGTACGTAAAATTCTGTCCATTGACCCCAATCTACCCATCATTATCGCTCGCGCGTAATTATATTGCTGTCGCGACTGTGCGACGGGTGCCCGCAGTGAGTGTGCGAGCGTGACAGCAACATTACGCGCGAGCGATAAGGATGGGTAGCTTGGGGTCATTGGACAAAATTCTATGTGCTCACAGACCGGGCTTTAGTATAATTACCTGTCTCTTACTATGGTCAGCTTGAAGGTGGCCCTTAGATGTGGCTCGTCCAGGCAAGGGAAGGCGGACCGCGCATGCGTCAGCCAGAACCGTGACACTGCGCAACGACTGAAAGATAAAGGACGAAGCATACTTTAATCCCGGAAACGGAACGTAACCCTATCAACTCGAGACGGTCAGTATTCTTCGAGAGGTTTGAAAGTAAGAAAGAAAGAAAAAATATTTATTTGGTACTACTTAAATGATACACATTGACATTACAAAGCAAAAATAATAAAGTTGTTGTACCTAATTGGTCTCTGCTCAAAATTTAGCCTATGTTACTCGTGGATAATGTAGCTTTCGAATGGTGAAAGAATTTTAAAAAACGGTCCAGTATATTTTGAGCCTATTCATTACAACCAAACAAACAAACAAACAAAGTTTTCCGCTTTATAATATTAGTGTAGATTAGACTGATCTGACAGTTTGATTTGGTAACTTACTGTTTGTGTGTCCCTGTCAAAAAGAACCCTCGTTGCTTGTCATTCCTCTCCAACTTTGTGATGAAACGAAGGCTCAGTGTGTAGTTGTATTTGCGCCTTATTTTTTCCTGAAAAAACAACGTTTTGACCATTAAAAACTTATAGTTGGACACACTGAAGCGTCCCAGATAGGACATTAACAGGAGCATACTACAACGTCGAGTTAACTGCACACCTGGAAGCCGTGACATCATATCGCGCTCTGGTAAATTTGGTATGGACGGACGGGACAAACGCGGGGAGAGTCGCATTCCAGCGAGATGCGCAGTTAGCATGGGGTTGTATTCAAATTAGTTCCAATTTGTGCCGATATTTAGCTTAGTATAAGGTATAAGGGGCTAACGGGACTACGGGACTATTCCCACCTCTCGTGCAGGTGGGACCTGCAACTCCTGTGTAGCCAGGATCTACAGCTTGACCGCCAATAACCCAACCAGTGACGGTCAAGTTCGTCCCGAGGGAAAGTTGTGTCATTGGACCCGCAACGAAATAACGGGCTAACGGTACTGTTAAAAAATTACCTTGAACTCAATATAAGTCTGGTCAGCCGCAGGGAAGTCCAAAGCCTTAGCTACTTTGGGACCTAAAGCACCACCGGTCCGAAAAAGCGCTCGTTCGGTCACGTTCATGTCGCGCACGTTTAAAACCACGAAGTTTGTGTCCCTTTCCACTTTTAGGTCTATTGACACTTCTCCTGTGAAGAAAAAGAAAATAAAAAGAGATAAATATAAATTTTATTTAGGTATATCTAAGTGCCTTTTCGTGCGATTTTTGCGTTAGAATCGCCTTTTCAGTGGCGTAACTACAGGGTGGCAGGGCTGGCAAAATGCCACGGGCCCCCGACCTAAACCATACCACCCGATGACCCGACATTCTTTCTTTCTTCACTTAAAACGTAGGACTTCTTGGCGGGAATGTAAAGCGTCATGTTAATGTTAGCGGTTTTGTTTTGTTTTCTTAAATTCGTGTTTGGGCGACTATTAATGGTGGATTTGGCTTAATTTTTTTTTAATTGTGTATAATACTGTGTCTCATGTTGATAGCCCAATAAAATAAATAAATAAATTATTTAAGCATTAAGTGTTCGTGAACGTGCATGAGTGTGGGCAAATGATACTAAACAGTGCAGCGTGATTCTTCGGGTTCTCTCAAGTAGTAGAGACTTCATATGTCTCAGTAAAGCACCGCTTTACGGTGGGAAAGATCATCTATCATCCTTCATTATATCATTAACCCGGGTCCCATCCCACTTGGTCCCATTTTGTAATTCACCTCAATTAAAACTTGAAAATGGCCCAAATCAAGTCGATCTCAACGTGTATTGCCAACATTAAAAAGAAGAAGAAGCCACACGTACAAAAAACACCAGTTATCGTTATAGTTACGGTTAAAGTTAGGTGGTGCAACTCAGCCTAAATGTTTGTTTCTTCCCTTTTAATATCTTAGCTAATCATAGCTCGTAGAGACAATGGCCGTTGGGACAGAAAAGTTCTGTAGTGGCGACCACGTGCCGGAAGAATTAGCGTGGGCAGGCCTCGACGCCAGGTGGACCGACGTTCTAATGATGATCGCGGGAAAAGCCTGGATGCCGGCAGCCCAGGACCGGTCGTTATGGAAATCCTTGGGGGAGGCCTTTGTCCAGCAGTGGACGTCATTTGGCTGACACTAACGAACGAACGAAAATCTTTTTCTTTATCCACAACGAGGAAGCTCTTGGCCTGTGGTGGTGGAAGCGAGCTTCACCCAGAATCCTCAACCACGGAGGAACTGGCTATCTTACCTCTATCTGCCGGAACACAACAATGCTGTTAACATTGTTGTTATGGCGACAGACTTAGGTAAGATGGTGGTAGCTAGCCAGGCGGACTTAAAACAAGCCCTACCACCAACCAAACTGAAAATCTGCCGCCACTGGGAAACGAACCCGGGACCTCTGCGTCTGAAGCAGGTGGTCTTACCACTAGACCACAGAAGCGGTTCTTACCCCTCAGTTCTCCAGTAGTCAGGTTCGGGTGAAGCCAGAGGTTGTAATGCTTCGGTATCACGAAGGTGGGGAGGCGGGCCCCCCTCCAAGGAAACACCTGGCCGTTACTCGCAATACGTTCTCTGAAACAGACAGTGTTTGTTCATTAACATCAGGTCATTAAAGGACGAAGCACATTTATCAACCCGGAAACGGATCGCAACCGTATGTATCAACTCGAGGCGATCAGTATTCTTTGTATGAAACTCCGTACTGGACGTGATCCTCGCGGTTTACAGCGTGGCGAAAGGTGATACGGTGTTTATCCCTTTCTTATAACATAATAACAGGAATTTTGTTTTCATATGGGTCACTTAAAAATTAGGGATTGATGGTGAAAACGGGCATAAATGACCAATGATGAAGGTGTGACTTAAGGTCCTAAGTATGTCCCCTAGATGGGGCAGAAGGCGTCCACCACAGTCCTCCATCGCGTTCGGTCTTGAGCTTCGCGTTTGAACTCGCTCCAAGTGAAGATGTTTCGATGATGAAGGTGTAGAATCCTCATCATCATCATCATCATCATCATCAATAGCCCTTTACAGTCCACTGCTGGACTATGAGCCTTCTCCACTAAAGTGGAGGGTTTTGCCTTAATCCCCACGCTTGGCAGGCGGGTTGGAGATCCCGTTCTCTGTTTGATGCGTAGTCCCTAAGACACCCGCGGGAAGAGTAGGGGTTGGTGACAAATGTATTCTACTCTGCCGTCACCATACGGCTATAGGGCACGGTAGATACACAAAATGTTTGGTAGTGTCAACTGGCCTGTGTACTCACTTGTTGGACGAGGCAGTATTGGTCTCAGCCCCCGTGGGAGGCTGGCCGGGTATCAGGGGACTTTCCCCTGCGCACGGGCAATCTGGAAGCGGGAAAAGATGGAAATACAGTTCAAATATCGAGTAAGTATTAAAATAGTACAATTTTATGTCGCTAGATGGCATTGTCAAGGGTATTAGTGGTATTAGTGTTTGTTAATAGCGGTTAAATTCCATTCCATCCCATGTTCTATCCCATTCCATTCCATTCCATTCCCTATGACTACCCTCAATATGACATAATATGTGCGGACCCTTTGCACAAAATATTGTCAACTTGCCAGTCCTTTTGTGAGCAGTGTTCTCTTTAGTTTTTAAGTAGTTTTTAAGATGTTATTTTGTTTATTTTATTTTATTTATTTATTTGATCACCAACAAGATTTATTTATTTATTGTTATATAAGTATTTTAATGGCAAGTGTAATTGAAAAAAAAAACCCATCCCATCCCATCCCATCCCATCTTATCCCATCCCATCCCATCCCAACCCATCCCATCCCAACCCATCCCATCCCATCCCATCCCATCCCATCCCATCCCATCCGATCCCATTCTCACCTGGCTGCGGCGTGGCATACACGACGAGCAGTGCAGTGGCAAACATAGCCGAGAACACCAACGCGGCGAGGCATAGCGCGCGGCGCTGCGAGCATACGGCCACGGGTGCCTCGCGGAGCTCCCTCGCTTCTCTTGCTTTGTCTGTGTCTGTAAATAAAGTTCATCATTATCATCGGAGTTTCTCTTCGTGATCGTATCAGAAATGAGGAGATCCGCAGGTGAACCAAAGTGACCGACATAGATTCCGCGAAAATAGTGTGAATTATTTCACGTTATTGCAACATTTTTCTTTACTGCTCTGGCCCTATTGGTTGTAGTAGGGTAATGTTATAGCCTAAAGCCTTCCTCAATAAATGGGCTATCCAACACAAAAATATTTTTTCAATTATTACAGCCAATAGGGGCGGAGCAGTAAAGAAAAATGTAGAAAAATGGTAAATGGGCATTTCTACGGAGACGACCGATTGACCTACTGGGGCGAAAAAAGTACCTTTCAAATTGAGGTACGGTCTTGAAAAAAATCACACGTATTTATAGGACTCTTGACTTGATGGAGAGCATATTTAGAAGACCGCCAGGTTTTACATCTCGCCTTAAAAAAATCTGAAAGTTAAAAAACGGGCGAAATTTGGCTTAAAATGGAGTGTCCGGTTTCCAGAATTTACTCGTTTTTGCTTCATAACTTTTGAAATAATAACTTCCCTATTATGATACCCACATTCACAAAACAAGGGATAGTTAATAAAGCCATATATATGAGTTTCTTTATTGTAAGTCCTTGGGTTTTACTACAGTAACACATTTAAATTTTGTCCGACGTGTGTGCCTCAATTCCGTGATTTTTACTTTTGTGCTCCTATATCACTAACTACGCACAGTACGAACGCCCTCGACTGATTCCCACAAACTAGCAGTTGCGCCCGAATTTTCGAGAAGTCTAAAAGACAGATTTGTCGCTTTGAGGAGCATTTTTTAGAGGTTTGAAATCACTAAAAATTTTTGGTCACTGGTCATTTCTCAAATCGGTGTGCGAAATTAATAATGTTCAGGAAGTATTTAATGAGATTACTGCTAAATTAATTGAGTGTTTAAGTGATATCTGCCATTACGTTTTGTAGAAATTGTTGTAATTTATAATATTTTCGAGTAATTTGATGGATTGTGATATTTCCTCAATTCCGTGGATCTCAATTCCGCGGAATATGGGGCATCGAATTGAGAAAACGTATACACCGAATTGATATTAAATGAAAATGGAGACAATAAATTGTTTGTGTAGTTACCTTAAAATGTTAATGAAATCAGTCTAACATAATAATAGGGTGAACTAGCAATCATTGGGCACTACCAGTCATAAGACAGAAGACAATAAAACATTTTTTTTGAGGTTTCATCAAAAAGAATGCACTGCTACTCCACCTTATCAAAATAATATAAAACAATAGTTCAAAACATTAGTAAACGATGTAAGCAGAAGTTTGAAAATATGTACTTTAACTTATCGCAACGATTTTGAAAATAGAATGTTTGTCTATAACATTTTTATACATTTTTTAAATCTATCTCATTTGCTCATTTCTTTTTATACTATAGAGTTATTGTATTTTGTATATAATTTAATTATTATTGGTTCCACAAAACACAGTAACTAATAAGTTATTGAGTTATGGATATTTGCTGTCCAATAATTAATAGTTTTTTGTTTGAAAACTAGATAATGGACAGGTAAAACGACATCTCTGTTCATCATAACTTAAAGAGCAAGAGGCATAAAAATAATGGGATATGTTTGAAATCGTTTCTTACTAATTGATAAAATTATTTTCTTTCAATATAATTCATTATTTTATTTTTCGTTCGTTCGTTTCAGCCAAATGACGTCCACTACTACGGCCTAAGGCCTCCCCAAGGATGTCCATAGCAGCTGGTCGTGCGCTGTCCGCATCCTGGTTCTTACCTCGATCTTCACCAGATCGTCGGTCCACCTAGTGTGAGGCCTGCCCACTGGTCCGTGGTTTCCACTCGAGAACTTTTCAGTCCCAACAGCCATCATTTGTACGAGCTAAGTGCCCCACCCACTGCCACTTGATTTTTGCAATTCTGCGGACTATGTCGGTCACTTTGGTTCTCTTGCCGATCTTTTCATTTCCGATTCAATCACGCAGGAAAATTCCGAGCATAGAACGCTCCATTGCCTTTTGGGCCTTCTTATTAGGCTCATAGTAAGCGACCACGTTTCACATCCGTACACCATCACTAGCAACACACTGGTCGAAGACTTTTGTCTTGAGACACTGCGGTATTTCAGACATGAGATCAAAGTTGGACTGGACTCTTTGTCCCAGATATACACAATTGTCAACAACTTCAAGTGTAAATCCAACCTTCAGAGGAGTGGGTGAAACACGGACATTTGACATGATTTTTGTCTTGTCCATGTTAATTTTGAGACCCACTTGTTGAGAGGCTCTGCGGAGGCCATCGAACATTGTGCCTAGATCTTCCAAGGTCTACGATATCGTCCGTGCCTACGACCAATAAGCCATGACTACGATATCGTCCGTGAATTGGCTCTTTGGTCTTCTGTGTAATATGCCGTAGCGTACCTGTGTGTGTGCCATAATACTAAAGTCTTTTCAGAAGGCTGGAAGTCGTTGAGTCTGCGAGCGAGACTCTCGAAAACAGCTTGTAAACACGCCTCAGAAGTGAGATGAGTCTATAATTTTATCACCACATTTTCCTTCGAGGATGATGGAATTGAACTGCTTCTGTAGAGCCTTTAATACCGGCGAAGCTCAGCCGTGATGCCGTCAACACCCGGTGCCTTGTTGTATTTCAGCTGTTTGAGAGCTATTTTAATTTTGTACAAACTGACGTCCGGTATATCTTCGGTATAGTGTCAGGTCAATCTAGCTCTTGGGTCTTGCTATATTTGTTTTATATTTAAGGTTAAGAATAAATAAACTAAGAGGAGACCCTGTGTTATGTATTTATTTTATTTAAATATATGGATATTTCAGACAATTAAACCTAAAATTAACCATCTAACTAATAGACCAGCAGTCAGATATCAAAAGTTTTAGGTATTTATTATTTTGATTATTGAAATACATTATGTATTTCTACATAATGTCATCAATTATAAGTTCACGGAGAATTTTTAAATTTGGAGATTCATTTCTCAATTCCGTGATTCATTTTCTTAATTCGGTGCTCTCTCAATTCGGTGCTTAACTATTCTCATAAACCACTTTACAATATTTAGTGACAATGCTATTTTTACATTCAGAATGGAGTAAACTTTATTTTTTTGTATCGAAACTACTTAAAAAACTAAATATAAATTTTAGCACCGAATTGAGAAAAATAACACCGTGCTGTAGAAATGCCCAAATATTATTCAAACTATTTTCATACATATGAAATCGCAGCACAGACAGCTACGAGTACATAGTTATCCAATAAGATTAAGCAACACAAAACGCCAATTTTATAGATGAAGACCTAATAAGACTCTTGACATTCCGTTTTGCTGAAGCGAGAAACTTAAGAGGCTCAATGAGTGTGCATTAAGCCCTCTTGACCTAGAAAACGAGTCTATACATGCCCCTAATGCCCAGGGATTTATAAACCATTTTGGGGCCCATAACCACCCCTTCGCGATTCATTTATTTATTTATTTATTTACAACGACAACAACAATACACTGTCATCACAGGACATCCCAAATTACAATTATTCGTTCGTTAGTTTCAGCCAAATGATGTCCTCGCCCTCGTGGCAACCACGAGCAGGAAGACGTAGTGTGGGGCTGTGGGCAGGCCCCCCACTAGGTGGACCGACGATCTGGTGAAGGTCGCGGGAGGTACCTCGATGCGGGCGGAGCAGGACCGGTCTTTGTGGAAATCTTTGGGGAAGGCCTTTGTCCGGCAGTGGACGTCATTTGTCTGAAACGAAACTAAAAAAGGTAAGTAATAAAAGATTGATTGACTGATCGCATACTCTTTTCATTGCAAAAGATGGGGCCCGTTTTAAGTCGCGGGGCCCTTTTGTGCACGCACGGCCTCTGCCTTACGGTTAATCCGGCCCTGGTAATGCCACTACTGGTTACCATCTAGAGTTGAGGGGTTTTAATACTTTCCAAGAGTCTCTAATTGTAGCCTTTATAGAGGCTGGGGCCTTTAAAATTAATAGATGAAGTAACTTTTTGCATTAAGAGGGTAAAAATTGAGATGATGCCTTATTTATGTGATGTATTAACGTAGGTTTTTAAACAGGAACTGAAAACTTGGCATTACCTAACTAAAATACCAAGGAAATAAATAAAATATTGCTTTTAAAATATAACTTTCCCCCAGGACAAACTTGGCCTTCACTGGTTGGGTTTTGGCGGTCAAACTGTAGATCCTGGCTACACAGGAGTTGCAGCGATGGGAGCAAGAGCTGGGAATAATAATATCCTTTCTGTAATTAGGTTTAGAAAATCCAGTCAACTTACCAGCTAAAAAAGCGACATCGTCGAGATCCTGGTCCACCATGTTGCGCCACGCAGCTGTCGGACAAAACAGAAAGTTATAAGTCCGCCTTCTGTTCCGTTAAACATGACATGTTTTTAGGTAGGTATAGACGTAAACTGAGTAAGTGCCTGAGGTACAGAGTATTCACAAACGATGCTTGCTTAAGTGAAACCGAAAATCGAACGCACAACGTTGAATAGAGCTCTAAGCTGTGATTGGTTCGTGTGTCACCCTGTGACCGTGCCCTGTGCGTCCACGCGCACTGTGAGACCTCATAATATAGATGACCCACGCTGAACTGTCCCACCAAACTCAATGACAGGGGGGCGCTACCATCGTTCAACTATGGTTTCCATCATGGCAAAAATCGGAACCAGCGATCCGGTATTGACGGTGGCGCCCCGCTGTCAATGTCACGGATAGGACAGTTACTTTCAGTATATTGGAACTATAGTAATGTTTGTGAATACGGGCGTAAGACGTGTTGTTGACTTTTTGGCTACTTTAGGTGTCACGAATTATTTGAAGCTGACTGTGCCATGAAAGTTAAAAACTCATAAAACTAATTTATTTAAGCAAGTAGGTTTTTAAAAAGCACTTTTATACGTCCCAGTATTAACCCTACCACTGCTTCGGGACAATAAATGGGCCAGTGCTGAGAAGAAGCAGCGCAAGAAACTCCCACCCATATTCACAAACAATGCTTGCTTAAGTGAAGCAGGAAATCGAACCCACAGCGTCAAATAGAGCTCTGTGATTGGTTCGTGTATCTCCCTGTGCGTCCACGCGCACTGTGAGACCTCATAGTAATATTTGTGAATACTGGCGTCAGTCACTATTGTCAGAGTAATACAAATGAGTAGGTTATCTTCATAGAAACGCACCGAGCGAGCACACACTGACAAAATTCGGCGCAACTCCCCGCTAATCCACGTTAAATGTTGTCAGTGTGTGCGTGCGCGCAGCATACGTATTGGCGCGCTCACATACAAACCGCGCTCGGTGCGTTTCTATGAAGATGACCTACTGTTGTATTTGTATTTACTCTGCTATTGTGCCCTAGTTGGTACTTGGTTGGTTGTTTAGAAAATATTATGCAGTTTACTATTTTATTTATTTTACCAATGGTCCGTGACCCTCACTCGGCATGGGGCACACTGAAAACCAGCGCCGTGGCCTTCGTCACCGTTGCAGTGGGCATCTTGTTGGTGAATGGGTGGCACTGCTCAGTTGTTTTTTTTTTTCTTCTTCCATTATTATGTGCCACTGTCATGTCTATGTAATTGCCTGTATGTCCATTGTAATAAATGTATCTTTCTTTCTTTTTTTCTTACTCACCCTTAGCAGACCCGTTCCGATCCGCTTTGTACTTGCCGATGGGTTCCATTTGAATACCGTCCATCTCACGCCCCGCCCCGCATGCCGACTACCCTGCAACAAGAGTTAACCCTTAATTGGACAAGCCAGTCGTCTATTTTAGACCTTAACTCAAGGAGAGAAATAAAAATAAAAATAAAAATAAAATAAAATAAGGAGATACAGTTCAAAATAGGGTGAAAACTTTTATTGACTAAATACTATAGCATCCGTATTCACAAACGATGCCTGCTTAAGTGAAGCAGCAAATCAAACGCACAGCGTTGAATAGAGCTCTGTGATTGGTTCGTGTGTGACCCTGTGCATCCACTCGCACTGTGACACCTCATAGTAATGTTTGTGAATACTGGCGTAAGGCCTCCAGAAACTACCAATAAGAATGACGTCAATATTAATCAATAATAAATTATAATCATCGTCATCATTTCAGCCATAGGACGTCCTACTACCTTTTATGATGTCGTCGGTCCAGGTTGTGGGTGGACGACCTACGCTGCGTTTTCCGATACGTTCCTATCAATACATTTTTAATCTTCTCACGTACAAAGCTGCCCATATCCAGGTACTTTCCGATATCAAAGTAAATCGATTTTAAGGACTATTTAAAATTTCATAAATAAATAATTTTTTGACTTTGACTTTATTATTGTGCGATATCGTAAGGAACACTTTATTACAAGTTCGACTCGAAATTAGAAGGCTTTTTTAAATGAACCGAACTTGTAGATCCTTCTCTGACCCTCCCAGGAGTTAGGAGGTAAAAGGTAATATAGTTTAATTTAGGAAAATGACAAAATTAACAGTCAACTTTTTTGAGCATGACACAAATGCTGAGCGGTGGCCATTTTTGCTTCTAAATCCCTTTTACTTCAAAATGTGTGTGTTAATTTTATGACGATCTAAAATAAAATAATGGTTATTTATTCGAGAATAAATTTTATAATAATACATTAACTTAAAATGACTTAAAAACTAAAATTTAAAAATTACGAATAAATTATAAAAACTATTTACAAAATAAAAAATACTTCACCCCCAGCGCTGCAGTCAGGAATGGTGCCCAAAAGGCTGGCAGCATTGCCACGTTGAATGGCCAGGCTAATTCTCTGACCAAAATAGCTGCCAGCCTTTTGATCACCGGTCACCTCGGTGAGCCTCTTTGCCAGTTCCTTATAAAAGGAACGAGCGCTTGGACCCCATGATCCCATAATCTCAACCCCAAACGGCACAAATATATAACTCTCATTGAGAGCTGCATATTTGCGCCGCTTGGAGCACTCAGCCGAGGCCGATAATGGTTTTCTTTTTTTCTTTCTTCCGAAAGCTACTACGAATCGTAGCAATGACTACGGTCCGTAGCTACGGTTCTCATCTACCACGCTACGTCGTAGAGCTTCTTAGCTACGTGATGGTAGGTACTACGCAATCTACTGCTACGAAAATAATCCGTAGGTTGCATAAAATTAGTACAATTATTATTATTCCTTTGGAATAGAGCAACAACCACGAGCTGTCAAATGAAACCGGTTTTGGATGACACTGGATATCATTTGTGTGTCAGTGTCAGGATTGTTTCACTGTTTTGTACAATAAATCAATCACTGAACCAGTTACCACGTTTCTGACAAGTTTCTGAAGCACTATTTTTTATAAAATAAAAAAATAGTTCAGAGTTCAAATTTTGAGCGGCCATTGCTTGCCTCTAAACTGTCAAATAGTTCCAAAAACGGTTCTGTTTGATGTGACGTCTCTTTTTATCACACAGTGTTGCTGCTAGTGACATCTCGCTCGCTCAGTTCTTTGTTGCTCTATTTCGCTAGGTAGGTAGATAACTTTATGGTTTGTCGGTATTGGTTGTGAATTTTAGTCTGATATAGCTTCTGTTACTCACGAAGATTGTATTGTAGCATTGCATTGGTGACGCAGGGAAAACTTATTGCAGTATTGTGAGCCACAGTTCAGTTGATGTCGCACGGAAAATATTCGCTAAAAATTCCTTCTTTCGTTTGTATTTTTTTGGTGGATAATGCGTTTATGTAAGTCATAATAGATCACCTGGGTGAATATCCCAAACACGTTTTTTACGCGGCGGAGCTGAGAATCGATGGGAGAAATGTAACTAGAGCGATGATTTTTTTTCGGTATATAGTTTATACAGCGTTTTACACGATAGCAAAGTCTTCAGGACAATAGGTAGTTATTTTATGTACTAAAAAAATTTTCAAAGACCCAAAATCTAATAGCGGTGGCGCGTCCTAACTCTATTTCTACTCATAAATTGTGTTATTCCTTCTTTCTCGGGGATTCTAGTAATTTAAAAATAGTATAGCCATAAAATACATTAAATAAGACTTCCAAATGATATGAAAGAAATGTGATATTTCATATTTTAAGTGTTTTAAATAGCCTTTCAAAACTGTCCCACGAAAAAAAGCAATTACAGTGGCTCAATTTCGACACTCTCTTACTTCTCCAAAGAAGCTTTGAGAGACGTAGAAATATCAGCAAATGCTTTGTCATCACATTTACTAACAAAAAGAGGAAAGTAGCGTATCAGTATAAAATAGATGACCAAGTTCTGCAGTATAATACCTTAGCAAAAGACCTGGGCGTCATGTTCGACGAAAAGATGACTTTTCGAAACCATTATGATCATATTGTTGGCAGGGCATATCGTATGCTTGGCTTCATCACTAGATCGACGTTCGGATTCAGTAAACCATCCAGTTTCATTTACCTCTTTAACACACTGATAAGAACAATACTGGAATATGGCTCTATTGTGTGGTCGCCTTGTTATCAGGTTCACTCTAATACTATTGAAGGGGTTCAAAAAAAGGCTCTTAAAATTGCAACCTTTAAGTTTGGCTATGGGCGTAGACTGTCATCTTACGATGATCGAAGGGTTGAGTTCCGGGTGGATACGCTGGGTGTCCGTCGCCAACAGCAGGACCTATACTATCTGCACAAAATAGTCCATTCCCATCTGGACTCTCCCTATCTCCTATCACATATAAACTTTAACGCCAGACCCAATCCCAGACATCCTCGAGCGTTTCGACTCCAAGTGCTAACAAACAACACCTCCTTTTACAACCCAATGGTGCGCATGTGTCGTCTATACGACGACCTGACATGCCGTGAAGAGGATTTAGATGTCTTTGACGTAAACCACAACAGATTTCGTAGGCAAGTGATAGACTTACTCAGTTCGGTGCCTCGCAAAGGTAACCATTAGAACGGAAACTTTAACTTTAAATTACTTTATTGTTTTATAATTTAATATTGTTATACTCTGTGTCGCTATTCATCTTCATCATGCTGTGTGTATACAATTACGTTGTCAATCTAGCTCTTAACTACTAACCATGTGTACTTAAGTATCTACTAACAAAACTCGATTGTCAACTGTAGTATATACCTAATAAATAAATAAATAAGTATTATTGTTTATAATTCAGAATAACATATAGGCTATAATAGGGATGATGACTGGGTAATGAAATCGAAATTCTATTTATTCCGTCAGACAGATAATTAGAAAATATTAGACTCATATTTTTATTTTTTTTCCAAAATCGAATAATTACAGTATTATATTGAGTTGAAATGTCGCGTGACGTCACTTTTGAGTAAAAATTCTACTCAAGCGTGACGTATCGCGCCATTTAAGCTCGATGTAGCACTGTTATTATTTAATTATGAAAGAAAATAAAAAATATGAGTCTAATATTTTCTAATTATCTGTCTGACGGAAATAATTGAAATTTTGTCAAAGAAAAGACAATGCCGGAAATTGGCGTCTTTTTTTTTTCGCGCGGCCATCGACCAAACTTTGTTTTTTGATTACAAAATAGTGTAATAAATCAAACTTACTATAACATGTATACCTACCTCTAAACTCAGTCTGAACTGAGTTACGATCATTAGAAGTTTGATGATTTTCATACTAGATTTGCTTTTTGCGCGCAAAGTTTTGTAAGAAATTGCAACAAACTAGTGAGATTGTATGTGTAAACAAACAATACCATCCATTAAAGGCTCCAGACATCAGTAGGGAGCAGAATCAGCGCAATAAAAAAATAGCGCAATATTTTGTTGCAATTTCTTACAAAACTTGCGCACAAAAAGCAAATCTAGTATTAAAATCATCAAACTTCTAATGCTCGTAACTCAGTTCAGACTGAGTTTAGAGGTATACATGCCATAGTAAGTTTGGTTTATTACACTATTTTGTAATCAAAAAACAAAGTTTGATCGATGGCCGCGCGAAAAAAAAGACACCACTTTCCATACAAAATCTGGCATTGCCATTTCACGCGGGTGAAGCTGCGGGCAAAAGCTAGTAAGTCATATTTCCTACAATCATCCTCTTTAAAAACGTTTTAAATCTCGATAAAATAGCAAAGGAAACAAACGCATTCAGCCCCAGCCTCCCCTCATTACCGGTGAATGGTATGCTATGGACGCCGTTTAGCCACCTCTCCCCTATCCATTGAAGTAAGGCGGGGATGGCAAACTGTTGGTATGCGATAAATCCTTTTTTACAAGCTTTATATTTATATTGACTTCGCTTGTTTGTTAGTGTGGGTTTACATCAAACGCGCTCACTAGGGACGTATGAAAATTTTAGTTTTTGAACGGTTCCCGCTAGGGGCGCTGTACAATCCGTCATACATTTAATGTCATTTTTGACGCGCTCATTAGTGAGCGCGTTTGATGAAAACTCACACTAGGCCCTCAGTTCTTCTCAACCGATTGAGCTGAAATTTGGTATTACTCAAAGTCAAAGTCAAAAGTCAAAATTTCTTTATTTGTTTAGACTAATAAATAGTTCTTACAAATCGTCATTTTGCTCTTAAGGAGCCTCTACATGTCTCATAATCTTTTTACCCTACCAGCGCTTCGAGACCAACATTTGGCAAGTGCTGAGAAGAAGCGCCGCAACAAACTCAGTCACCACTGTCTGCCGGTTAATATAAATAAATAGAAAAGGTAGTAGTAGATTCAGGAGCAGTTCACTGAATTTACCATGCATTCTTGTATGGTGTATCATAAGAATGGGTATACAAGATTGCGTGGTATATTAAACAAGGTAGTGACGTGCTAATATCTAGACTTACATATTAAGGTACTAGTAGAAATGACTCGCATACATAAATTTGAATAACTTGGATTGACCAGTCCCCGAAAGCAGCGCCTGTTCACAGACATGACGAGTGAACCAGCCATCGCTTCACTCGACCATATTAGAGGGAATGTAACGACCCGCCTCACTACGCCACCACCCCAGAGACATTTTAGTGAGAATGACAATGCCAAGTTATCTCTTTAAAAAAAAACTAAAAACTAAAACTAACTAACTAAAAAAAACTAAACTAAACTAACTAAAACTAAACTAACTAAAAAACTAACTAAAAACTAACTAAACTAAACTAAAAAACTAAAACTAACTTATACATACATAATAAGTACGAACTAATGGATGGAGGTTTGTTACTTTTCAAAAATACTGAACGGATTTGGATGAAATTGGGTATAGAAATAGTTGAACGATGAATAGCTGTGGCAAGCCAACTTCTGCAAAAATTACACAGTGCGAGCTTGCGGAAGTAAACTTTTTCTTTTTTTTTCTAGTCTACACCTCGCTTTAGGTTGACCACCCCTGACGTATGGAATAGCCGTCAGATCTATAGGATCGGATCGTTAACCCTGGGGTAAGGGTGATTTTCTATAGAATCCTATGAAACTTTAACGAGTAACTAGGTAATAACAAATAGGCATTTGATATTGCTTTTTAGGGTACATATTCTTATATCGTGCGAATTTCATCACGGACGCCGGATTATCTTAACCTAAGGCTGACTTGCGCCATCTTGCTTTAATTTTAACAAAAGTAAAAAATCTGTCAAACTCTATACAAAATACACAGGTTACGGATTAATTATCATTAACTAAGACTGAGTTGCATCACCTAACTTAATTTGACGATAACCGATGTTTTTTGTATAGAGTTTGATAGATTTTTGACGTTTGTTAAAGTTAAAGTAAGATGGTGAAACCCAGCCTTAGACAACAAACTACCTATTCTTTCAGAATCAGTAACAGAGTAAAAACTGTTAGCAAAAGTGAAAACTTCTTTTATTTGCACGTGGCAAATAAAAAACACCTTTTCCGTGCATCATGTAGCCTTAACCAGCTTGTAAAAAAACTTTACCCCATTCTGCTTCAAAGTAAATAGAGCAATGGGGGAGCGATGAAAAGGGCGCGAAAAATGACAATTGACACGTGACATTCATTGGTAGGCTGAATAGTGGTTTCCTTTGCTGCATTTTTTCACCTTGGCCTCGTGCGGTTTGCACATAGATACTATTATGGAACTATTCCCACCTGCAACTCCTGTGTAGCCAGGATCCACAGCTTGACCGCCAAAAACCCAACCAGTGAAGGTCAAGTTTGTCCCGGCCAAAGTTAAACTGTCATTGGACCCGCAACGAAATTAATCAGAAGAACATAGAGGAGTTCAAATGCCTATCAAGTCAGATTGGCAATTTCCTACGTCAGTTTTGTCGGATATGACCAATTTTCTAACGGAACTCGAGCTGTTGCAAAACAAATTAACTGTCTAGATGTTTTCTAAGCCTAGATGTTGTTTAGAGTCGTTTAGTCTACAGATGTTTAAGCAAAGATAAGAGAGAAGAAATATCAAGTATAGTGGCTATAGTTAACTATATCTCATTTTTAAAGTTTACCAAAAGGTTTAGATTAATAAAGCCTGGACCATTGTGGTCCACAACTATTTTTTTTTAATTAAATGTCTTATTAAATATAATTAATAAGTAAAATAACAAACAATAACATTTTATTACGATAAATGTGGATAAAAATATCTCCATTTCTCCATTTTCGAAAAAAAAAAAACATTTTACAACGTTTTGACTGTAATGACCCAAGATTTTTGCTTCACTTTTGACGAAGCGTTTGTATGCATCTACGAGTAGGTTTTTTATTCTAAGGTTATATGGTAGAAGAACTAAAGAAACTTTCTGAACTTGTCCTTGAGAAATTTCAATTAAAAATGCATAAGAGAAATTTTAACTTTGCCAAAGTAGCGTTGAGATACCGCAGGTCAGGTTGAATATTAACCTCAGGCCGTCGTACCATAAGCGCCATACATCCGGTGTTGGAGGAGTGGGTACGGCGGCAACACGGTCGTCTCTCTTATAGAGCGACCCAAATACTAACTGGCCACGGCTGTTTCGGCGACTATCTATTTCGGATAGGACAGGAGAAAAGTGCCAATTGCTGGCATTGTCGAGAGGGCATCGAGGATTCCGCGCAGCACACACTCGAAGTGTGCCAAGCTTGGGTGGCAGAGCGCGAAATCCTCGTGGAACAGGTAGGACAAGATCTCTCCTTACGGGCCATCCTGCCTCGTATGCTAGAGAGCCCAGATGCATGGCATGCGGTGCTCCACTTCTGCGAGGAGGTCATGTCGCAGAAAGAAGCGGCGGAGAGGGAGCGAGAGGCCTCGCCTGACGCTCCACCGAACCGTCGCCGACGTCCAGGACACCGCAGGAGACACTACCATCTCCATGCCCCCTCTTAAGGGTCCTCGGCCACTAGACACGGGGGTGTTTGGTGGCCGCTAAAGGAGGACCCGTGGCGGCGGCGCGCGCATGTGTTCACGCGCACCGTTAGCGAAGACCAGGGGAGGTACTACTCCCCTGAAGCCAATCGTCGCTTGCTCAAACAGAGCGAGCCACAGTCTGGGGCGGAGCCGCGAAAGAATGTCTAGGCCATCTAGCTCGGACAATAACTCGCAGCACCGTCCCAAAGACTTCGGGAGGACACCGTCAGGTTTTAGTGAGTAGGCCCTGCCCATCTGGCAGGGAGAGCCTTACATAACCCACTGGTTCCCCCGGGCCAGTGGGTATGCAATTTCATGCATTTCCTGACGAAAAAAAAAAAAAAAAGGTTGAATATTAACCTCGTAAAGACTTGCGTTAATGTTTTAAAAAAGATATATACTCCGTTTCGTGATAAGAATTTGTGTAGTTAGGTAAAGTCGAAATCTGTACTAATATTATAAAAATGAAAGATTTGTTTGTTTGTTTGTATTGAATAGGCTTCGAAACTACTGGACCGATTTGAAAAATTATTTCACCATTAATTAGAATCCTACATTAATTCTGATAATTCTGATGAACATGGATGGTTCCGAAGTTCGCCGGGAGTGCTACTTTAATATAAAGAAATAGGTACAATCTGCGCCCGCGATATAAAACACTTGCAAATCGTTTGACTTTTTATCCTGAAGGCATTCAGACACTATTAATAATACTGATATCATTTTATCCTTCCTTTGGTAATGACATTCAATCTTTCAATTCACATACAAATAAATATAGCCTGGTCGCACTATAACCGTCATTCTTACATTCCCATAGCTTTTTAAAAAACTTTATAGACTTTAGTAAATGAAAAACTTAATTTATTACTTAACTACATACTTCGATTTTAATTTGATTTAATATCATTCCAATTTTAGTTGATTTTGAAATTTTTGAAAAGAAAATGTGACTTCGAACGGGGATATTTCCATACAAATAAAGAAAAACAACGTTTTGACAGTATACATATAAATAGTATCTCAATTGACTGTGGTTTCCGGTCCCTACCAGACAGTATGGCGTCGGTCAAACTCAGAGAAATCTTCTGAAGGGATGGAAAATACTTGACCACTATTAATTTAATATCAGAAATAATTTAATGGTCAAGCTGAGGGCATGCTTGCAAGTTTAATATTGTTATGGAAGAATTATTTTATCTAAACTTTTAATCAATTCAACAGTTTATTTAACGATGTGTTTTGAGAAAACATTATTTTGTGAAATAATTAGTCACTTAATTTGGACAAACAAACTCAGTTGCAAGGTCATGTGTGCGTTTGGTAATTGTAATACAACAAACGAGATAATACTGAAAAGGTACATCTTTTTGCAATTTTATGCCATTTATATTGAGTCACAGTCGTTAAAATCCTTCAAGACAACAAAATACACGTTTCTATAGACTTGAAGTACAAAATAATCACTATTTCCTACTCTTTAGCTACCGAATTGACTTCTAACTTGTATTAAATGCTACAAACTCTACATTTTATATTTCACCAAACGAAGCTCAATAAAAGAATGAAAAATACTTACTTGTCTGTCAATACACGACACAGTGACACAGTACACGAAATTATTCGCGAAAATAACTCACAATTGTATTGTTATTTTTCATCCACTCGCAAAACACGCGAAAGCGACTGCTCGGTGCGGAGAGTGCAAACCGAAATCGATTTTACTCAGAGAGGAAACTACATTGCGTTGGAAAAGGACAAAACATGTTTATAGCTCATGATAGAGGGAGTAAGAAGGTGTGTGAAGGGAGCAGCGGTGAGCAACCCTTAGAAATAGGGTAGGGAAATGAAGTGGTACTTTTTGTTTTCGTTTTGTTTTTTTGGAAAATTTATTGGAGTTGGGATTAATTTTGGTAGAGTTTTACGGAGTTTTCCAGACTTCATAAAAGGAAAAGTCAAGTCTGTATAGACTAATTAAAATAGTACTTACAAGTCAAATTAAAGATTAGCTTTGTCCTTAACGAGCCTAAACATAACTCATAATCTTTTTGCGTCAGAGAAAAGTAAAGATCAGTCTCTTTACTATTAGAATCAACAATTACGCACAATTTTATTTCTTACTAGCGGCCGCCCGTGACTTCGTACGCGTGGATCCCGTTTTACCCCCTTCATCTAAGTATCTTACGCGGTTTAGATTTTTTCAAACAAATGTTTTTTCCCGCTAACTCCCGTTCCCATGGGAATTTTGCAATATCCTGTTGTAACTAAGCTTTAAGTTTACTAAGGTACCTGCATGCCAAATTTCAAGCGTCTTACTTAAGCGGTTTAGATTTTTCATACAAAAGGATTTTCCCGCTAATTCCTGTTCCCGTTGGAATTCCTAAGTATATTATAACCTGCCCAGGAGTATGAAGAATAATTGTACCAAGTTTCGTTAAAATCCGTCGAGTAGTTTTTGTTTCTATAAGGAACATACAGACGGACAGACAGACAGACAGACAGACAAAAATTTTACTGATTGCATTTTTGGCATCAGTATCGATCACTAATCACTCCCTGATAGTTATTTTGAAAATATATTTCATGTACAGAATTGACCTTTACAGATTTATTATAAGTACCTATAGACATATTTGAAAGGTCACTGTGATAGGCATAGCTGATCCTGTGTTATAAAAATAACTTTTCGTCAAATACTTACTTAAAAATACTGTTGATAAAAAATCAAAATTGAAAGAATAACATAATTTTTAACTTTTTCTCCATGTATTGTTCTATTTATCTTCAGTATATGACGTCCACTGCTGAACATTTTGAAAGTGTGTGAAAATGTTCAATACAAACTCCAGTTGTTCCCTGCTACTTCACTTCGACGGATTGAGAACCTCCTTTTTCGAAGTCGGTTAAAAAGTCACAATAATCTCGAATGCGACTTGTTTATCAGGAGTGCCACATTTGAAGTGTTTTCACAGGTTACCTCAGATCCTGAAGGATAACTGGAGCAGTGGGGAAACGAGGGTTGGGAGCAAGTAGGCACAACAAGTAGGCATGCATTTTGTTAGTCCCTAGTTTTGCAGTTATTAGGTCTAGTAGGGCTTTTTTAACCCAGTCAGTGCCTGAGGGTTTTGGGACGTCAATCGTCAGCGAGACTTCAAATGCCCTTAGATTTATATGCTCTGTCACGTCATGTTTTTGGGACGTCAAAAGAGCTTCAAATATGCTTCAGGCCCCCTAGACAAAACGCACTTTTTGATCGAATCGAAAATCGAATCCGTCAAAACTCCATACAAAAAAGGGGCTTTCGACCACTTTTCGATTATAATTTGCACTTTGTCTAGACTCTCAGATTTTTATGTTCGGTCACGCCAATAAGACCTGGCCATACATAAAATAAGAAGAAGACGTCCTAATAATTATGTCTAATGTCAATGTCACCCCTCCCGTGCCGCTCCCATGCCTCAGGCACTGGCTGTGTTAAGCGCAAGACCTGTAATTTATTTTAATGCAATGAAAGATGCAGCATTAGCAGAAATTAAGTCCAGTTTGACCTGTTTCGGATAAAAAATATTATTTAGTTATTTTTCAACAGTTTGTAACTATAAAGATTTATAAAATATATTTTTTCGAGCTTAGTACCTCTATAGTCGGTTGGAAGAAGGAAACTATAATTGAGAAATACAGGGTGACATTAAAAAATATTCGCATCCTTTTAATTTAAGACTCTACTTATGAAACCATAGTACATTCCCTAAATATGACACAAATCCAATGAGTTAAAATTTCAAAAATTAAAACCTTGCAGCCTTATACTCGTATAAGATAGACGACAGCACCAAAGAAGGTGTGCGACTGACTGACTGACTGACATAGTGATCTATCAACGCACAGCCCAAACCACTGGACGGATCGGGCTGAAATTTGGCATGCAGGTAGATGTTTGACGTAGGCATCGGCTAAGAAAGGATTTTACGAAACTTCACCCCTAAGGGGGTAAAACGGGATCCACGCGTACGAAGTCGCGGGCGGCCGCTAGTTTATTTATAAGGATGCCAACGATTTCAAAGTCACCCTGTATAGAGGATTTTCCAATTAACAAGATGCCCCCTCACCCTTGCTACGAACCGGAACGGAACGTCGTAGCCTTGTAGCATTTTAAGCTCATAGCACACTTATCAACTCGGAAAAGGATCAACACCGTCAGCCTTTCGCGCGCTATCAACCGCGAGGTGGGGCATTTACGTTACGGAGCGAAAAGTGTGCGTTGCAATATGGAGTTTCAAAGAATACTGACCGCCTCGAGATGATACGGTTACGATCCCTTTCCAAGTTGATAAATGTGCTACGATCTAGTAAACTACGAGTCCACTATATTCCTATATCTGTCCCTCTCTCTCTCGGGCTGAGTAAGCGAGACGAGAATAGAAGATTATGGCCTAGCCCCATTAAACCGGAAGAACCCTCGGGTGACTGTTGCAAATTTCCGAATTTCGAACAAGCAATTTTGTGAAAGGATTTCGCTCGTGGTTTTGTGCCTTATCATGTTTCTAATAAAATACAATTTTATTTAAAAGGCACAGTTTATGATGAAATCAGATTAAAGCCATTTGGCTGGGCTGGGTTGCACCATCTTACTTTAACTTTAACAAACGTCAAGGTCTTTCAAACTCCATACTAAAATACTGGTTATCGTTATAGTTACGGTTAAAGTTAGGTGGTGCAACTCAGCCTAATAAACTGACTACGTTTAACTAGAAGTTTCAAATCTAACGATAATTTTAAACTAAATCGTTCGTTAGTTTCAACCAAATGACGTCCACAGTGGACGTCCACTGCTGGACAAAGGCCTTACCCAAGGATTTCCATACGACCGGTTTTGCGCTTCCCGCATCTAGGTTCTTCCCGCGACCTTCATTAGATCGTCGGTCCACCTAGTGGGAGTCCTGCCCACGCTACATCTTCCGGCCCGTGATAGCCACTTGAGAATTATTCTGCCCCAAACCTTTTTTTACGAATAGGTACTAATCTAAAAAACCCAACAAGCTTACAATAACTTTACTTTTTACATTAGTGGTATTACAAACAATACATTTTACATGGTATTACAAATTCAGGGTGCTTTTGTAAGCACAGATATACATATTGTGTATGTTACAGTTATAACTCATACATAATTTGGTCAAAAGTGCTTTTGACCGATTATGAGTTTTTACTGTAACATACAGTCATACATTTTGTTTGCTCCAACTGTGCTTACAAAGGCACCCTCGTTGGTTAGAACCTTTTTTTGCCTTTTTGTACTGTTTCGCGCCATTGAAAAGGTTTTAGTGGGAAATAATTTACCCTACCCTGAGGGCTGGCTATTGTTTCACATAAGAGTTTGTTTTTGACGTCAATTATAATTTTCCAAGGAACTTCTTGGCGGGAAATTAATGCGTAGGTATACTTAGCAGGTTTGTTTTATTTTCTATTATTTGTCTTTAGATGAATACTTACCTATTGTATGTGTAATATTGGTGGATTTATTGAGTGTTCTTAAAAGTAAGAGGCAAATAAAATAAATATTATGTAAAATGAAAAAAATCTTCTAGACTAAGAGCTAGTGGTGAACGCCAGACCTACGTCATTTTATAAAAGCTGAAAGTTTGTCAGCGTATGCTCCCAATATCCTACTCCTACTAATATTATAAATGCGAAAGTTTGGATGTCTGGATGTTTGTTACTCTTTCACGCAAAAACTACTAAACGGATTTTGATGAAACTTTACTGTATTATTGTTTATAACCCAGAATATGACGATCTGTGACAAACAAAATTTCACGTGGGTGAAGCCGCGGGCAAAAGCTAGTAGGATATAATGTTGGTGAATGAGGATCAGTACTGTTGTAGAAAATTCAATAAAACTAGTATCTACGTTAATCTTTAAGACATAAGAAAGATATATCTTTTTGAATTATCCAAATCGGACCATTACTTACGAAGATATTAAGTAATAAACATAGGCCGTTTTTGCCGCTAAAAGTCAACGTACGCAAGGCCGCGTGACGTCATTATATCCGAATCGAGCGCAGCCGGCGTACTAATGGGATGGAAAATATTTTTTTCCGGCTAAACTATCAGTTTTAGAAAAAAACTTTTAATAACATTTATTCTTCAAAATAAAGTAACCTATCGACCAGTAATTTTTAAAAATAAAAATTGTGAAAAATAAGTATTGCTATGTCCAAAAACCACATTTTCATAGGATTCGATGCAATGCGGAGACGCGGTTGGGGTGAGTGTAACTTAATGATTGTTTGTATTGAACATAATAATACTTAATATGATGCTAATACCCAGTTTCTGGCTTGGGGGGGGGGGGGGGGAGGGGTCAAGTCATAACCAGTTTCTAGGGCTGGGGGGAGGGGCTAGCCTTACCCAGCTTATGGCCTGGGGGGGGGGGGGGGGGTCAAGTCATACCCAGTTTCTGGCATTTCTGGCATGGGGGGGGTGTCATACCCAGCTTCTGGCCGAAGGGGAGTCATATCCAGCTTATGCTTATGGCCTGGGGGTAGGGGCAAGCCTTACCTAGCTTCTGGCCTGGGGGGAGGGGGAGGGGTCAAGTCATACCCAGTTTCGGGCCGGGGGGGGGGGGGGGGTAAATCATACCCAACTTCTGGCCGAGGGGGAAGTCATGCCCAGCTTATGACCTGGGGAGAGGAGAGGGGCGGGGTAGTCATACCCAGCTTCTAGGCTAAGATTAAATAGATTTCCAGCACGGAGCGGCTGTCCTTTCCTGCAGCAGCTGGCCCGCCCATGGGAACGGCGAATAGATAGGTAGGTGCGTAGGTTTAACTCAGAAAAACTAAATAACAGGTAGGTATTATTAAGTGTACATCGAAATGATTTTCATAGCAATGTCATATTGTTAGAAGTTATACCTTATTGTTAGAAGTAAATAAATTAATACTTATACATTTTTATATTTTACTTGGAAGAAGATATGACTCTAACAACACTTATGTACACTTTATTTGAATAAATCGCCAAATATACCACCGCGGAGACCCCAATCGCGTCTCTGCGTGCCATTGAATCGTATGAGCGTATGGATTTTTTGCGTTATTTTTCACAATTTCTATTTTTTTAAATTACCTATCGATAGCTTACTTTATTCTGATTAATAAATGTCATTACAAGTTTTTCTCTAAAACTGATAGTTTGGCTAGAAAAAAATATTTTCTATCCACGCAGTACGCCGGCAGCGTTCGGATCGGATATAATGACGTCATCGTCCCCGCGCCGGGCGGTCAGTGAACTTTTTTAGTAATTTGGCCATAACTTCATCAATTTTTGTCGTAGAACAAAAATTTTTGGACTGTGTATTATGGATTTCTTAGCCCTATAAATCTGCATTCACAGCTAAAAATCGAAATGATCCTCATTATGAAGTTTGGGTCATCGTGGCTTTGGGAACTACCCTAAAAAACTGTCTGGCAAGGAGTTGGAGGAACTGTCAAAAGCTTTGTGTTTGACTGCAATCTCTCTTGATTTTTTTGTGTATTTATCAGAATGAGGATCAGTACTGTTGTAGAAAATTCAATAAAACTAGTATCTACGTTAATCTTTAAGACATAAGAAAGATATATCTTTTTGAATTATCCAAATCGGACCATTACTTACGTTACGAAGATAGTAATAAACATAGGCCGTTTTTGCCGCTAAAAGTCAACGTACGCAGGGCCGCGTGACGTCACTATATCCGAATCGAGCGCAGCCGGCGTACTATTGGGATGGAAAATATTTTTTTCCAGCTAAACTATCAGTTTTAGTATCGGATATAGTGACGTCATCGGTCCCGCGCCGGGCGGTCAGTGAACATTTTTAGTAATTTGGCCATAACTTCGTCAATTTTTGTCGTAGAACAAAAATTTTTGGACTGTATATTAAGGATTTCTTAGACCTATAAATCTGCATTCACAGCTAAAAATTGAAATGATCCTCATGGGCTACTCACTACTCAGTTAGTCAGTTACTTTAAATGGAAGCAATAGTATTGAGTTCTAAAATTTTTTTTTGCTGTGTTCATTTGCAATCAGTCCCAAGACTATGAGCAAATATTATGTTCTTTGATGCTGTCATGCGGAGTGGCTTCTCATTGGAAGCATCAACTCATCTGCTGCCCAGATCTACTGGCGATCCCACAGGCGATCCTCCATAATTCCATATGATGACGTTTCAAAAGTTCTAAAATAAATACCGTTAAAATAACGTTACTGTATTTTTCTACTTACAACATTGTCAGTAGTAGTTTTTGTGTTTACACCACTTGGTATCCCTAAATCAATTTTGAGAATTTTCTTGTATGGTGTCATTTTGAAAATCGTGAAAAATTAAATAAAATCAAAATGTTCGCTCTCCGTAGCCTTGTCAGGAGCAACGCTCAGTTCGCCAAGAATGTTATTCCTAAGAGAAACATGACAGTAATCGCCACACCTGCCAGGAATAAGGTTTCTACTGGTGTAAGTATACCACACTTTTTTACCTTAATAAGACCCCTTCCATGTTTTTTCTTATAATCTGCATTGATATTATGTGATATTTAGGGATGTAATAATGTTATTCTAAATGTACGTTAGAGTAAAATGAGTTTTTTACATTACGTAATTTTAGTTCCAAAGATAGGTTATCTATCTAATAACCTAGTAAAATTTTATCAATTTTACTTCGTATAGCTAAATTACTGCCAAGTAAACACGCCAAATATTGGAAATTGCCTTATTGTTCATAAAAAATGAAGTTAATGTTTGTTTACAGAAAGATAACCTCAAATTTAATTTTGATGAAAGTCAACAGTAAAACAAAACTTTAGACTTAGGCCCGGTTAGACCAAACTTATCCGAGAATAACTCCTGGTATAACTCGACCTGGCACATTGACAGTTTCAGTATGGGAATTATGTCAAAACTGATGATTTATTCTGAGAATAATATTTACTTTTGTTTGGTCTAATCCACTCTTAGTAAATAAATAAATATAACTAGGATTCCTACCAAAAAATAGCCAAAATTTTCTCACGTAATTAATGGACGCCCCCTACAAATAAATAAAATAATTTCACAACATTCTGTAGGAAGAGTGGTGGCCCTGTTCTACTTTGCTGGAAACAGCAAAGTACCAAAAAATTGCCAAATTACAACTATTCAATTTTATCCCCAGGAAATCATCTTCCTCTCCAGCTTGATGGTCATCGGTTGGTCCGCCATCCCCGCCTGGGTCCTGGTCAACATCAAGCACTACCGCGACAAGAACTAAGCGTACTTCGTAGAAATAATGTAGATACTGCTATGTGATGATTTCATTCTAAGTTATAATTAAAATCAGTTAACTAAAGTTGGGTTTTCATTTCATCCACAGCTAACCAGTGTTAAAATATCACCCTAATATTATTTGAACAAAGACTGCTGTGCAGTTTAAAGATTTTTGTAGTTAGGGCCTTGCCACAAAGACGAGTGGCACCGCAACGAACACGCCGTGCTTTGAAACCGCTTGCAATCCGCCATTGTAGCACCACCTCACTTATGCCTTGATCACACGTACCGAGCAAACGGGCGAGACAGTGCTCTCGGCCGAGTACTCGGTGTGTATGAACACTACGCTGAGTGCTCGGCCGAGCGCTCGTATGTGACTCGCTAACCCAACTGTCTCGACCGAGTAAACATTTTACTGTCTCGCCCGTTTACTCGGTACGTGTGATCAAGGCTTTAGGCGATGGTAGCTTATTAAACCCTCAAACATTTCTATGGTAAGCACTGTGACGCAGCCTACGGCATTTATAGGACCAAAGCCTACACTTCGAGTAGTAAGTTAAATCTGATACTACTGAAAGCGGCAAACATGCCAGTAAAAAACGACAATTCCCGAGTCACTTATTTAAAGACTTTATTGCACACACAACAATGTTCTGTACAAAAAGGCGAGCTTAATGCCATACGTCATTCTCTACCAGCTGTAGCTGTAGTACTTATGCCCGTTTTCACCATCAATCTCTAATTTTTAAGTGACCCCTATAACTGTTAACTTAACAGGAATGTTGTTTTGAAAGGGGTCACTTAATTAGGGATTGATGGGGAAGTCTATTTTTTCTCTGAAACTCACAGTTTGTACACAATTTTTTTTAAATAATTATTGAAAAATAAAACATTTTATGGTAGGAATTTGTTTATTAATAAAAACTTAACTATCACTTATGATAAACTTAAATGTACTTCTTCGAAACAGTAAAGCGTACTTATTGGAAATGACTGGAGTGTTTGAGATTACTGTGCAATCTCCATTAGCTGTGGTGCGTCTGTAACAAACAAGTTTATGTTAATATAATTGATAAAAGTCATTTATTTTTGCAAATAGGCTTTTAAAAAGCACTTTACACATCCCTGTATTAACCCTACCACTGCTTCGGGAAAATGGGCCAGTGCTGAGAAGAAGCAGCGCAAGAAACTCATTCACTATTGTCCGGATTATATCTTCTATCTTTCTAAATATAAAAGGAGAAACTGACTGACATATCAACGCACAGCCTAAACGGCTAAACGTAGGCACTTGAAATTTGGAAGGGACGTAGCTTTGGTACCGTAGAGGTGCTCTAAGAAAGGAATTCCCGAAATTCCCACGGGAACGGGAATTATCGGGAAAATCCTTTTGTATGAAAAATCTAAACCGCTCAAGTTAGACGCTTGAAACTTGGCATGCACCTTAGTAAACTTAAAGCTTAGTTACAACAGGATATTGCAAAATTCCCACGTGAACGGGAGTTCGCGGGAAAAAACATTTGTATGAAAAAATCTAAACCGCGTAAGATGATGAAGGGGGTAAAACGGGATCCACGCGTACGAAGTCGCGGGCGGCCGCTAGTGAAACATAAAAAGCTAAAAATAAATTCAAACTCATCATCATCAAGTCAGGGAGTTTGATCCGAGCAATCCGAGCGGCATTAGTGTAGTGTGCGTGTGCACTCATGGATGATTTAGCGTGTACCGATAACTATACAGGGTGGAAACGATAAGTGATCTCACTCGATTATTTCTAAACTATACATGATATCAAAAAACTAGTTACTGATCATAAAAGTGCTTCATGAGCTCTATCCAATGGTATCAATATTAGGTTACAGAATAAACGGGATCTATCCAAAAATTCAATGTTTCCTTCTTCCATACATTTAGTACTACCACAGTCATGTCATCTCTTGACAATATTGTAGCAAGTAAAGCCTAAAACTAATGTTTTTTATGAATAATTTTAAAGAAGAATACAATTTACGTGTTTATTTTAAGAGTTTCTTATACAATTAAAAAAAAACTCCTAATATTGTGTGTCTGGCATACATTTAGTATGGAAGCTGGAAACATTTAATTTTCAGATAGATCCAGTTTATTCTGTAACCTATTATTGGTACCGTGTGAAAGAGCTCATGAAGCACTTTCAGGATCAGTAACCAGTTTTTCAATATCTTGTATAGTTTAAAAATAATCGAGTGAGATCACTTAACGTTTCCACCCTATAAAGCCTGGTCCGTGAGCACGTAGAATCCCGTCCAATGACCCCAAGCTACCCATCCTTATCGCTCGCGCGTAATTATATTGCTGTCGCGACTGTGCGACGGACGCCCGCAGTGAGTGTGCGAGCGCGACAGCAACATAATTACGTGCGAGCGACAAGGATGGGCAGCTTGGGGTCATTGGACGGGATTCTACTTGCTCACGGACCAGGCTTTAGATTAGTATCTAGATAATTGAGACTTAAATTGTTACCTCCACCACCATCGTTGAACATAAACTCGTCCTGGTATTCCTTCAGGAACTGCTCCGATCGGTGTTCATCCAGGAACAGGGAGTATACCTTCTTCACATCTTCCATGCTCACCTGGAGAGAAAGTTCATTGTTGAATGCAGATTTTTCATTGTTGTGCCCTTATGCAGGTGATATGGTTCAAAATGTGGTAAGTAATTACCACTAGTTGAAGGGATTAACACCCGTATTTACAAACATTACTATGAGGTCTCACAGTGCGCGTGGACGCACAGGCTGAACCTGTTCATAGACAATACTTGAGTGGCGGAATATAATTACACGCGAGCGATAAGGATGGGTAGCTTGGGGTTATTGTACGAAATTCTATCTGCTCGGCGACCGGACTTTACATTACCGCATTAAAATTATCCCCGAACGTACCTCGGAGGCTTTCCTGCGTTTAGCAACGAGAGAGGCAGTGGTGATGAGTTGTATAGCGTAACGGAGTGAGGTCTCAGTGGCCACACGAGTCAGAACCGTCAGGGCATCGGCTGACATTTGACAGTCTTCTTCTTCGCACCTGGAAAAGAAATAATATTAAATAACAACATCAGTACCGGAAAACGCAGCGGGAGACGTCCATCCACAAGGTGGACCGACGACCTGATAAAGGTAGCAGGAAGGCGCTGGATGCAGGCCGCTACCAACCGTGCGATGTGGAAGTCATTGGGGGAGGCCTATGTTCAGCAGTGGACGTCCTGTGGCTGAAATGATGATATTGAAAAATATCAGGAGATTGACGCCCGCAACCCCGTATTCACAAACGATACTTGCTTAAGTGAAGCAGCAAATCGAACGCACAACGTTGAAAAGAGCTCTGTGATTGGTTCGTGTGTCACCCTGTGCGTCCACGCGCACTGTGAGACCTCATAGTAGTGTTTGTGAATACGGGCGTCAAAGACAAGCTTATACTATGACGTCACTTTCAAGCTATGACGTTACTTTTACAAACTGTGAAGCGTCAAGTTATGAAGTGGCTTTAGCTATGACGTCACTTTTTGATTATGTGACGTCCATACACGGCTGTAAAGAAAATAGTATTTTTAACAGTTCTTAGAGTCGTAATTGCTTTACAACTGATTAACTGACATTTCAATCCGGACGGATGCATACGCGCGCTATCCACCGCATTTTTGGCGGAATTGTCTGACTGTCATTGGCCTATGCACGCGTTGATGTGATTGAAGCATAAGTTTAATTTTGTACGTATCCCTTGTTGTAGTACCTGATATTCAGTATCTCTCTCAGCTCTTGATGCGAGTATGGCGTGGTTGGGACGATGATCATTCTGTCCAGTAAATCCAGCGGGATCCAGTGTGGGCTCTGGTAGTTGGTGCCCCGGATACGAATGATGCAAGCCTGGTGACGTCACCACTACCGACCGGCAGTGGGATATGGCGGACACAAGCTATGGCGTCACTTTTTAAAGTTATGATGTCACCTCTCCAAGGCATTACGTCACTTTTCTTTCAAGTTATGACGTCACTTTTTTGTGACGATATTTTCAAGCTACGACGTCATATTGCTAGGACGTCACTTTCAAGCTATGACGTCACATCTCCAAGCTATGGCGTCACTTCTTGAAGTTATGATATCATCTCTCCAAGGCATTACGTCACTTTCAAGCTGTGACGTCATAACTTCTTTCAATTTATGACGTCACTCTTTTGTGATAACATTTTCATGACGTCACATTGCTAGGACGTCACATTCAAGCTATGACGTCACATCTCCAAGGTATGACGTCACTTTTTCAAGCTATGACGTCATTCTTTCAAGTTATGATGTCACTTTCAAACTATGACTTTACTCTATTATGACGTCACTCTTATGATGTTACTCCCCACGCTGACCAAATGTGTTAGAATCTACTCAGCTATGCGCTATACCTGTGCCAAGTTATCTAATATAGTAAGAATCTCACCTAATATTTAGTATTTCCCGGAGTTCCTGGTGCGAGTATGGCGTGGTTGGGACGATGATCATTCTGTCCAGTAAATGGGCTCTGGTAGTTGGTGCCCCGGATACGTGTGATGCCGCGATTGGTGGCCATGATGACGACCGGAGCGTCCATGGCTAGCGTAGACGAGATGTGACGTCACTTGAAAACTATGGCGTCATTAATTTAAGCTGTGATGTTCTCTACAAGGTATGAAGTCACAAGTTATGACGGCACTTTCAAGCTATGACGTTACTCTGTCTGTTATGACGTCGCTTTAAAGCTATGATGTCACTCTTATGGTGTCACTTTCAAGCTATGACGTCACTCTTATGGCGCAACTTGTAAGCTATGACGTCACTCTTTTAATGGCGTCACTATCGAGCTACGACGTCACTCTATTTTATGGCGTCACTTTCAACTTATGATGTCACTTAAGTGACGTCATAACTTGAAAGTGACACCATAAGTGTCATCACTTTCAACCTATGATGTCACTCTTTCAAGCTGTGACTTCACACCCTAGTGATGCGCCATGCCTGTCAGGAACCTACTCAGTGATGCGCTATACCTGTGAACTGACTCAAGTTTACCTGATGTTGAGTATTTCTCGGAGTTCCTGGTGCGAGTATGGCGTGGTGGGGACGATGATCATCCTGTCCAGTAGATCCAGTGGGATGCCGTGTGGACTCTGGTAGTTGGTGCCCCGGATACGCGTAATACCGCGGTTGGTGGCCATGATGACGACTGGAGCGGTCTCGGATTCGAGCGCCCGGTTGAGGAACGAAAAACACTCGATGTCTAACATGTGAGCCTGGGGAGAAACAGATAAAACATAAAGCCCCTTATAACAAAAAGTTACACATGTATTCACAAACATTACTATGAGGTCGTACTGTGAGACCTCATGCATGGACGCATAGAGTCCCAAAAACCTATTCGTAGACAATATTGCGTTACTGGCCGTCCCCATCGACCAGTGGGTATGTGCAAAGCATTTCCCGACGTTAAAAAAATAGTTGAATTGAGTGGACGATTCTGGTCTGGACAGTTGGTTTTTCAGTTTTTTCGAAGCAGTGTTGCAGAGCTTGTTTTATATTCTGATCTTGAGGCTACTATCCCGATCCGGCTCGAAGGACCACCGTTTGCTTATTTTCCCGATGAACTCTCTAGGGTTCCGAGGATTTGTTTTCAACAATCCAGGATCGTCCGGTAAAATATGATTATATTTTTATTGTCAATTTCCGGTATTTATAGTAAAAACCGGAAATCCCAGCAACGTCCACCTAAAAGGTGGACCGACGACCTAACGAGTAGTAGGAAGGCGTTGGATACAGGCCGCATCCAGCCGGGATATATTGAAATCATTGGGGGAAGCCAACGTTCAGCAACTTAATTAATTTTAAATTGGTCATTGGGGCAGAAAAGTTCTCGAGTGGCGACCACGGGCCGGAAGACGTAGTATGGACAGGCGCCGATCTCGTGAAGGTCGCGGGAAGAGACTGGATGCGGGCAGCCCAGGACCGGTCCTTGTGGTAATCCTTGGGGGAGGCCTTTGTCCAGCAGTGGATGTCTTTCGGCTGAAACGAACGAACGATGTTCAGTAGTGGACATCCTGTGGCTGAAATGATGATCTGAAATGGTTTCCACTTACCTCGTCAATGAAGAGCACTCCAGGAATCATTTCGGCCTTTCCCTCCTCGCGCCACTCCGCAACTTTACTATTGATTTGTTCGCGAACCTCCGACTTTATTTCGCCAGTGTCGCCTGTTCATTTAAGAATAAGTATAATTTATTCAGCATAGAGAAATAAAATAAAAATACAGTATTAACATTAAACCAGGCCTGTTCATCTTCGCGAGTTTACATCGAAAACAAAACACGCACGATGGCCCACCTACAGGATACTATTCGACAAGGCCTCACATACGAGCGAACATTGACTCACGCACGCGTATTCTTGTGTATGATGGAAGAAAATAAAGAAAATAGTGTACTAAATACTGTGCAGTATTTAACTGCCTAAATAATAATAAAAACACAGAATGTACTTTTTTAAGTTGCCTCAAGACACTGAGAGGTAAATAAGTAGTTAATATTATTCATGATAATTCATGCTAAATCATGTATTTCCTCCGCCATTTTCCGCAGTTTGGCACCTCACGTCATATCATTTTACCGAAGTCAGCCCTATAGCTTCGGCGCAGTACCGATCACTGACGTTTGTCAACAAAATGGTGCTTGACTCTTGAGACAGGCTAAATTACACCATATTGTTAATGACATTGAGCATACATTTTTTTTAAATACCTTCGCGAAGTAAAACTTCTGTACGTAGTACCACGGAATAATAATAAGTACTACGTACAGAAGGTTTACTTCGCGAAGATATTTAAAAAAAATGTATGCTCAATGTCATTAACAATATGGTGTAATTTAGCCTGTCTCAAGAGCCAAGCACCATGTACAGATCACAGAAACTAAAGGGAGATGTGACAAAGGGGCGGGGCCGGTGTCGCAGCAATATGCCCAAAAACAGAACACATTGCTCGTGAAAGCAATGATGACAGCAGCGACGTCATAATGTAAACAGTTTACATTGCTTGCGTAGTACTAAAGATTATTCGAACGTTGAGTACTGATACCGCAGTGGATAATGAGCACATATTTTGATCACTTTGTGTGTGTGAATTTCTAATGCGACACTGAGTTTCGAAATCAGCGCATTAGTTGGCATCTCTCTAGATCTCTGAAATGACCTGATGATAATGATAATGATGATGATGATGATAATGATGATGACTTACCAGAGAACAAAGCCAGGAATCCATGTGTGCGAGAGTTGATAACATCCACCTCGTGAAGGGTGACCGTATGAACAACTTCCTTACGCTTCTGCAATTCACCTTCGGGACATTGCACGAAGCGTGCTTGCTGGCCTGGATAAATAAACAAAATATTTCAGACTAGCTGACCCGGCGAACTTCGGACCGCCTGTATTCATCAGAGAAAAAAAAGAGGATTCTAAGGGTCATAGCAGACTTATCAACTCGGAGAACATCGTATCAACTCGAGGCACACTTATCCGCATCGTAACGTAAACTCCGTTAAAGGATGACAGCTCGCGAAAGGTGATTGATCCCTTTGCGAGTTGATAAGTCTGACACAAATGTCACCAGTGACATCCTAAAATCGGTTTCGTTTGACAGCTTGTGGTTACTGCTCCGTTCTGAAGGAGTATTAACTTTATGGTTTAGACATAAAAATTTACAGTAAGAATATACTAGCTTTTGCCCGCAACTTAAGTTTCGTAGAGACGATGGCCGTTGGGGCAGGAAAGTTCTCGAGTGGCGACCACGGGCTGGAAGACGTAACGTGGGCAGGCCTCCTACTAGGTGGACCGACGATCTGGTAAAGGTCACGGGAAGAGCCTGAATGCGGGCAGCGCAGGACCGTTCATTGTGGAAAACCTTGGGGGAGGCCTTTGTCCAGCAGTGGACGTCATTTGGCTGAAACGAGGGGGAGAAATTTTAAAAATCGTTTCTTAGCAGATGCCTAAAAGGAAAAAACTTTTTAAAACTTTGAAATCAAAGGAAATATACATACCAGTGGCATCATAGTCTCTGGCGCGCGCAAAACTCCTTCCTAGTTTGTTGATCTTCCCCGTGGCTTTGTCTATGGTTATGACGTCACCGGCTTGAACCTAGTAACAGAGGTTATCTATGTTTAACAATGATTGAATATTGGTTAAATAAAAAACTTGAATAAATAATGCCTTTTTTATCTATACTGGCAATTCTAGATCAGTTTCTGTGAAACAATTATACAATCCTTCGTTTTAAGCCCCAACGCAAAAAAAGTAAGGTGTTACTTATTGTTTTACTGTGTAATCTGTGTGTCTTTCCGCTACATTTTGTAGTGGTGACTACACCTGCCCCTGCTTCGCACGGGTGCTAAGTGTACATAAAAACCTTCCTCTTGAATCACTCTATCTGTTAAAAAAAACCGCATAAAAATCCGTTGCGTAGTTTCAAAGATCTAAGCATACATAGGGACAGACAGCGGAAAGCGACTTTGTTTTATACTATGTAGTGATGATGCTAAAAGGAAATGAAAAGGGGACCCTAAAGGATTCGTCACTTTACATGTCTCCTTATATTTTAAGCCCTACCAGCGCTTCGAGACAAATGATTACAAATAATTTAGTAGTTTGTGTAAAAAAAAAATTCTAAGAATATAAAAAACTAACCTTTTCCTTCAACAGCGAGTCGATCATCTTCGTCCCCATATCGTAGTTGGTTTCCATGTCTGTGGTCTTCAGCGTCAGTCTTCCGACTCTAGCGCCGCCGCCGCCGGCCGCTCTCTCTATAACGACTTCGACGACTTCGCCCTCTATTATCTCTGATTCTTCCCTGTCAGAAAATTATAAATTTATTTATTTAAACTTTAGCACACATAGAAACAATGCACTGTGGCGGACTTCTATTATTAATTTTAAGACTAGACGCAGACCATCGATTTTTAGTTGGCCGATAGTTGGGCCCGATTTTAATTTGTATGAAAAGTCGGCCAAATGGAATCCGCGTAATGTGCGTGCGTTCACACGTGTTAATAATTAATTATAGGCAAGTATTCCAGCTCTCTCCAAAAATGGTCACCACAGAATAACAGCGTCATGTTCTGGGTTTTATTTACTACTCCAGAGCATGACACATGCTGAGCGGTGGCCAATTTTGGTTCTAACTTGTACTTGCTTTTTGTTATCTGTGTGTTATATTTTAAGTTGGAACCAAATAAATGTTTTTCTTTCTTTCTTCCATACATGCCCATACTGATCAACTGCCCGACTAAACTATCGGCCGACGAAAAATCTATGGTCTGCGCCTAGGGTAAAGGGTAATACTACCCAACATTGATGATGAAATAAAACGCGGCCATAACAGCGTATTACAATATTAAAAATTCCAGTGAACTGTGAGGACATTTTACAATTATTGTACAATTTATTATTGAATTAGTGAAATTTAGTGTCACAGATCGGCATAAATTACAAACAATAATACTGTAAAGTTTCAACAAAATCCGTTCAGTAGTTTTTGCGTGAAATAGTAACAAACATCCAGACATCCAAACTATCGCATTTATAATATTAGTAGTACTAGTAGATATTAGTAGGATTGTAACAACTTGTAAACCAATTTCTTGTAATCAGCTATTGACTAAAATGATGATGAAAATAATAATACTCACTTGATTCTTATGCCAATAGATTTCCTGATTGCCTGTGTGAGAGCCTCGGTCTTGCTCATCTCAAGAGAAAATATTTCGGAACCTGAAAATAATATAAATAATTTTGTAAAAAGTGTGTCTCCTCCATGATGATCGGTCAAAAGAGAGATGCAGGTTATAGCGCGAGAGCTGATCTCCCCTGCTCTTTTGTCCCTAAGTCTGAGAGTCCTCCACCTGGACATGAGCTCTCCTGGCTTACCTGGAAGTCTTTAAATAGACTTCGGATGCAGTTTGGTTTGTCAGTCTTTCCCAAAGTGGGCGATAACGCCCCCTTGTGGGCGCTGCAGGCTTAAAGGGGGGCGGTAAGAGACCCAGAAAAAGAAAATCGGGACGTTGTGTAGAGGCTTGGTAGGCGTCATCTACTAGGAGGACTCTTAAACACCGACTGAGCTCGACTCTTGACTACAAAAATGGGGGGCGCTAAAAAATAATTTATTCTTGAAGTGGGCAGTAGACTAATTAAGTTTGGGAACCGCTGGGTTAGGTTGTAGGTGGGGATTCCCCAGTCGATGAAGCACATGATGTAGTGCCCTGAGTGACTGAGCAACTGCAGGAGGATTTAATGAATGTTGCTGACAACGCCACTCTTGTAGCGGAGTTTCGGGCTGACACTGTGTCGGTTTATTGTCGACACGATAAGAAGAAGATATAAACAATAGGGATGTTTCCTGGGTAAAAAAGCAAGAGTTTTAATTAGTGTCCGACCGAATGTTCGGTTTCGGTTTCGTTTTCGGTTGAGTTTCGGTAAAAACACGAGTTTCGGTTTAGTTTCGTTTTCGGTGGCAAACTTGCCGAAACTACGACCGAAACCGAATGTGCATTCGGGAGTTTCCGCGCTGTTATCGGTCATGTTCGGCGCGTTGAATGAGGAATGAATCCGATCCCGATCAGAGCCAATGTCGTGATTCGCTCGCTTGTTTGTTTGCTGTTAGTTTTGTTTTGTTGTGGTGGCGAATTGATTTATTATGAAAGTGATTTATTTTGAATTTGGTAAGTTTTATCTCGTTTTATGTCGTTACAACAAGAGCGGGTAGTAAACATCAAAAACAAATTATTCAATATGACTGATAAAAGTATAATCAAGTTTAATCTAACCTATACATTTTTTTTTTGGTTCGCAAATGCTATACGTAAACAAACATTAGTTAGGTAGTTAGTTATAATATGACTATAGTGCATTTCATGGATTCAGAGTTTCAAAGTTCATTTTAGTATTTATCGCCAAGGTATCCAAGTGGCAAGTACAGTAGATACTAACTTACGTACCTACTACCAATTTTGTATTGAGAAATTATTAATAATTCAGGAGAATTCAGTATTCAGGAGAATATTGCGAGTAATTAAAAAAAATTAGACTTTTCTTTTTTAATAGGTACATAATTTGATACCTTTTAGAGTAAAAAGGCGCTTTCGTTCGTTTCAGCCGAAAGACGTCCACTGCTGGACAAAGGCCTCTCCCAAGGATTTCCACGAAGACCGATCCTGCGCCGTTCGCATCCAGGCACCTTGACCCTGACCTTCACCAGATCGTCGGTCCACCTAGTGGAAGAACTTTCCTGCCCCAGCGGACATCAGCTCTACGAGCTATGTGCCCCGCCCACTGTCACTTTATTTTAGCGATTCAAAAAGGCGCTTTATAAGTTCAATTTTAATGCAATTGAAAGAGAAAACAATAAAGACTGACTGATTATAATAACGTTTTCTTTATTTTTTCCTCAAAATATGAGCCTTGTTAGGAAGTTTCGGTTTCGGTTTCGGTTTCGGCCGCAACAGACACCGTTGCCGAAATTCGTTTTCGGTTTCGGTTTCGGTCGTAAAACTAGTTTCGGTCGGACACTAGTTTTAATTAGTCCGTCAGTTACCTTATCAAAAAATACTCGACACCTATTTTTCACTTTTTCAAAGTAATGAAAATTTTAAGACATACCTATAGCTCGCCAGAGTTCAAAAGAAAAGGCCTGTGATGTCAATAAGTGCTTAAAATTCCAGCACTTTGTGACCTCGTGCGGAACTTCAAAGCACCCACTTTGTTATGATGTGTTTGATTGACAATAAAAAATATATGTGTCCAATATTTTTTGATATTAAAATTGACGGACTAAACATTTTCTTTGGAAACTAGCCTATTATACATTATACAAAAATATTTTGTTTTATTATTATTCTTTTAAAGTGACGAGTCTTACCAGCCATGCTAGTGAACGGAGTATCGGGGCCCAGTGCCTGCGCTAGGCCCATAGCAATGGCAGTCTTGCCCGTGCCGGGTTGGCCGGCTAATAGCACCGCTCGGCCAGCTATCTTCCCTGCAACAAGATATTGGTGCTTGAACCACATCTATAGTCCAACGATTGTGAAAAACAAATAGGTTGATTCCAATTATTTATAGTTTATAGGGATAAGGGACATGATTTTTCATTGATCCTATTTGTTCACATTCATAGCAGAGGGTCTATAGCTTTCTAAATTTTAAACCTTATTGTTTGCCTAAAGGTGCAATTTTTTTGGGTTTTTTCTTCCCTATAGCAATCTATTCAAAAACAATAAGTGAGACCTTATAGTAATGTTTGTGAATACGGGCATTAGAAACGGAACGAGTACTTAACAAGAACTTTTAGCTATAATTTTAAGATAAAATTATTGGAAAACATTGAAATAATAGATGCATTGAAGTAAGCATGTTACCATGGCAACCAGTAGTTAGATCAATGTTTACCTTCTCGGATCATCTGCAGAATGACCCCAGCGGCCTTCCTGGCCATCTTCTGGCCAACCATGCCCTGAGACACCGCCCTAGGCTCAAGAGAATCATCTAGACCGAGGCCTCTTATATGTGAATGAGCGCCGATTCGTTCTATGCGCGTTATAGAACGCACCTCTTGCACTTGAGCGGCTGCTAACGACTGTAAAAACAATTTTGCTGATTTAAAGTTCGATTTTACAGTGAAATTAATGCAAAATCGAGGTTTGAGGTTATGTGGCGAAATTTGAGGTAAAATGCAAGAAACTTAAACTTAATTGATCAATTAAAAGTTTTAAGATACTTACAGCCATTTTTAAAGATTTATAACGATCTAATTCACCAAAAATCCAATTTTTAGAAGCACGGCACGCACAGACAAGCACCGCCGCTTCCAAACACAAATGTCAATGTCATTTGCAAACGTCAAGTGAAAACAAGCAAGCAACAGTCACGTTCGGATACGGTTAAAAATATAAACACAGTACATAAACGATAAAATAACGGTATTTTATTAAATGATTGTAAAATTCTTTGGAAAAACAACGTTGGCATGTTTTAGGAGCGATTAGGAGTTAACAACACAAGTATTTAAACAGATATTTTATATTTAATTTATTGAAACTTTTGCACATAAAACTAATTTCAGTGGCAGACCATGTCTGACTAAATGCCGGGTGGCATTCTCTACCTACTATTACCTCACCTACTAAAGTCCAAATAAGGATGTAAATAAAACCAATAAAACAACTTTAACTTATTTATAATTATAAAATTAAAAACTTCAGTTCACATAAGACCAGAGGCTAACGAAAGCGACCAACAATACGGGCATCGTCGTCCGAACAGCAGCGCTGCGTATTGGCGCGCATTCCTTTTCGAGCCAGGCGTAGTCTTCCAAAAGGTCACGGTCTTGCAGAATCGGACCCAGGGTTGCCAGCACTCGCGCGTGGTAGTCGTCTAGGTATTTTATCTGAAATTAATAAAATAATCACAAATCTATCACTTTTTTTAATCCACAACGAGGAAGCTCTTGGCCTGTATCTCACCTGATGGTAAGTGATAATCAGGCCGAAGGTAGAAGTGAGCTTCACCCGGAATCCTCAACCACGGAGGAACTGGCTGTCATATCTCTAACTGCCGGAACACAACAATGCTGTTAACATTGCTGTTATGGCGATAGACTTAAGTAAGATGGTGGTAGCTAGCCAGGCGGACTTAGAACAAGTCCTACCACCAACCAAATCGAACAGAAAAATCTGCCCCCACTGGGAATCGAACACGGGACCTCTGCGTCTGAAGCAGGTGGTCTTACCACCACTAGACCACAGAAGCGGTTATAGCTTATACTTAGTAATAAAATTGAAGCAGTGCCCCATGGCATGGTGTTAAAAAAAATGGTGTTCATAAGGAAAGTTTTTACACGTCTCATTATCTTTTTGCCCTGACAAGCGCTTCGAGACCAACATTTAATTTAGCAGTGCAGTTTCAGGCAAGTGCTGAGAAGAAGCGCTGCAACAAACTCAGTCACTGCTGTCTGCCGTTTTTATTTAAACAAATTATTTTACGTTATTTCCTTACCTCAAAGTCAGTCAGCAAGTTGACATCCAAACACGCGGTCTGATGTGGCACCAGCGAGATGGTGTAGAACCCTAGGGCTCCAAGACCGCCGAAGTCGCCCACCATTCCTTCAGCCTGTGTTAGAAATAATCTTCATTTTCATTCAAGTCACGTTTGCGTGGGAGCATTTAAAGTCTGGTCGCTGAGCTTAATAAGTGCCACTTGTGGTCTAAACTGAATAATTAAGTATTTTTGATTTTGATTTTGATTTTGATTTTGAGAACCTAGAATTTTGTACAATGACCCCAAGCTACCTATCCTTATCGCTTGCGCGTAATTACTCGCGATTAATTAAAATTAGGATGGGTAGCTTGCGGTGATTGGACAAAATTCTAGGTGCTCAGCGACCAGACTATAGCTAGAGACCTTTTTGGCTTATTTTTTTTGTCGTGTAACTGTATCTCATGTTGATAGTCCAATAAATAAATAAATCATCATCATCATCAACAGCCCTTTACAGTCCACTGCTGGACTATGAGCCTCCTCCACTATAGTGAAGGGTTTTGCCATAATCTCCACGCTTGGCAGGCGGGTTGGAGATCGCAGTTTAAAAGATTGATGTTTTTCAGAGAGCGCTGCTGCCCATTCTCTGTTTGATGTGTAGTCCCTAAGTCGCCTCTTACGACACNTTTTTCAGAGAGCGCTGCTGCCCATTCTCTGTTTGATGTGTAGTCCCTAAGTCGCCTCTTACGACACCCGCGGGAAGAGTAGGGGTTGGTGACAAATGTATTCTACTCTGCCGTCACCACACGGCTTAATAAATAAATACTTGTAATAAATAAATACGGTCTTTAAATGCTTTTAGTTGGTCAAGCAGAGACAATCCGGTCGAGTTAACTGCGCAACTGGCAGCCGTGACGTCACATCGCCGCTCTGGTATGGACGGGGCGAACGCGGGGAGGTGTGCGGGTGAGTGCGAGGGAGTCGCATTCCAACGAGGTGCGCAGTTAGCTGATCGTCTCCATCCATCGGTTAGTAGGGTATCTATGCGCAATGATACCCTACGGATATATTTTCCCCCGGGACAAACTTGACCTTCATTGGTTGGGTTTTTATGGCGGTCAAGCTGTAGATCCTGGCTACACAGGAGTTGCAGTGGTGGGAACGAGAGGTGGGAATAGTCCCGTATCTATGGGCAAAGCATTTCCCGAAGTCTATAAAATGTACCACACACCTGTAGCTGTAGGTACCTTTGCGTTGCAGTTGGACCTATCGTTCGTTTCAGCCAAAAGACGTCTACTGCTGGACAAAGGCTTCTCCCAAGGATTTCCATAAAAACCGGTCCTGCACCGCCCGCATCCAGGCACATCCCTCGATTGTCGGTCCACCTAGTGAGGGTCCTGCCCACACTACGTCTTCCGGATCATGGTCGCCACTCGAGAACTTTTCTGCCCCAGCGGCCATCAGCTCTGCAAACAATGTGCCGCCCACTGCCACTTGATTTTAGCGATTCTGCGCTCAGCTTACCATGCTTATTATACAATTGTATTATTTCATTTTTTAATGTCAATGTGTATCATTATTTTAGTACCAAATAAATATTTTTTCTTTCTTTCTTTCTTTCTTATTGTATTTGCTTACCATGGGATGGTCAGCGTTTCTGTCCACCACGATAACTTCCACCACGTCTTCGTGCCTTATACCGTACTGGCCCACCTCGTAGTACCCAGGTTCTGGAAACATAACCATCAGGTATTATGCTTTTTTGACCCGACTGCTTATGGTGAAGAAAAAAAGGAAGGGTTATTTATGATTTTAGTAGACTACTTATGTATTCCTACGTAGCGCATACTACTTATTCATCCGATTTTGATGAATAAGATATTATACTTAGATATTAAGGTAAATAGGTACAATTTTCCCACGGAGACATCCCGTTTTGTGCAGGATCCCGTTTACGTGTTATAATAATAACGTTCACACGAACTTTCCGTTTGCATTGTCCCGCAAAAAACCTATCGGTTCGAATTTAAAATTCGAATTTCAACCAGTTTTGCGCAATTCTGCAAATCTGATTGCCGTGGGTACGACGAGGTTTGAACTCTGACCCTCGAATCGGCAGTCCGACAATGACACCGTTGGATTAGGTTATTAAAACAAACATTAAATTTTAATAGTTAGGTACTTTACCATTGCTGAAGATCATAGCGGCAGATATTCCAGGGTCCGTTGCGATGGGTCCGCTGAGTATCCACGAGGGTCCTTCGTGGACGTTGAGGAAGTGTCCCAGGCCGTGTCCCGTGCCGTGACCGTAGGTGAGACCCACGTCCCAGAGGTATTTACGAGCGAAGGACTCTAGAGTGTGGCCCTGGGGAAAATTCATAATCAATATATTAATAATATAAATCAAAATCAAAATCTTTGCATACTTTATAGTGACAATTTGTAACGGTGGAAAATACATAGACATGGGCTTAATAAGACTTAAGGTAAGTGCCCCCTACTTCGGTATATTAAGGCTCTTACGACTTTAACAATTTATTTAAAAATAACCAAGCATGATATCAGTATGAAAGCTTTTGTATGCTAAACTTTGGTCTTTTGACAGTAACTTAATACATAAATTATAGTTATATTGTTTGAACTTTTTTTAATATTAATTGTTCTGCGGACCTCTTGTTTGGATCCTGTTTCGTGATAAAATTTTGCTCTGTTTCTAAGTTCGTGAACTCATGTCCCCTAATTCGGGATAAAGTTTTACGCATCGAGTTAGGANGGAATGAACCCTTGTGATATATTCAGACAATACGTTAGTTGCTGCATCACACTGCTCACAAATTGAGTACCATTGTCGCTTATAAAACGTCTTGGCGTACCGTAGCGAAGAATTATTTCATTTAGGAGGACTTTGGCACATTCCTCTGCAGTAGCTTGACTTAACGCAAACAACTCAACCCATCTTGTTGCGACATCTTCAACTACAAAAATCCAATTCTTATTGTTGTTTGAAGTAGGAAGAGGGCCAAATAAATCGAAGGAAATTATTTCAAATCTTTGATTCATAGGTGTCGTTTGAAGTAGTCCCGCTGGTTTTTTATTTAAAGGTTTGTATCTCTGGCAATCAATGCATTGTTTGATGTAGGCTTCAACAGTTCCTCTTAAACCTTTCCAGTAGTATCTTTTAGCGATACGGTCTACTGTTTTATCAACACCGTTATGACCAGCCATTGGGTCATCATGATAGATAGATACGACCTTGTCTTGTTCGTGTTTAGGCACAACTATCTGACAGTTTTCGTTTTCGAGATCAGGGCTATATCGATACAAAAGGCCATTGTTTAGCAGGTAACCTTTTCGGCTCCAATATTTTGCATTTTCCTCAACCGTTCCTTCTAGTGCTTCTACAATTTTAGCAATGCCTTCGTCATCAAAATATTATCCATAATATCCTTGATTCGGTAGTATCACGAAACAGGGGACACCCGAAAAATAATATGTACGCTATTTCGTGAGTCAAATAATCGCAATTTTAAAGGAATTCTACGTTTTCATATAACTTTTTTCTAAGCCAAATCAATTGTCAAGGAACACATGAAACCACTATTACAAGTTTTATGCAAATGGACGTTTCTTCGCCTTTCTATAAGCTTAAGAAGTTGGAGCGCTAACCTTACGGCGAGAGCAACATTTTCACGCCGCACGGCTGTTTTTGGCTCTCTGAGAGTTTGAAGCTTCGTATTGCTCTCATTTTTGGCGCCACAATGTTGGTATTTGGTTTTTTAGATAGCTTAAATAATAGAGTTTTTGTAGTAATAAAGAATTTTTATAAATAATATTCCATTTGCTTATTATTTGAGCTAGAAAAAAAA